GAGACTTTTTTGGAGGGGAAAGGCAGGAGGGGTGGGCAGCCAGTGGTATGCGCTCCAAGGTAAAGGTAAGGTCGCAGCCTGTCGGTCGGGTCGCCTTGTCTGTGTTCTGTCTCTGTTTCTTGTCTCTGAGAGCGAGGTGGGACGGGTTCCGCAGAGGACGAGAGACAGCAGTAGCGCGCTTAGAGCGATCGGGCCAAGGTGGTGTGGTGTGGTCTGGTATGGTCGTCTGGAGACTGGAGTGGGAGGTTGGGACTTGCGTCTAACAGGCTACCACGGCTACCTAACCAACGCACGCACGGCACCTCAGCAGACGGGAGACTAAGAGAGCGTACGCAGGTCTACCTATCGAATCATGATTGAGGTATCAGGTATCAAGCATCGTCTCAATTGCCCAGATGCAGCTTTAGCGGGGCGGATGTGTGCCGTGCAGGCGTCCCGGCCAATCAAGACAATGTGACAAGACGTGCAGGTCCTTCCAACTCGCTGATTACCTACCTACTTGCCTACCTTCATACATAGGCACACACATAGTGCTCAGTATTCAATAAACAAAACTACTCTGAAAGCACATCATCGATGCGACCGGGTACGAGAAGGCGAGGAGTCGATCGACAATTTAATTGTCGTGGAGTGCCTAAGTGATGTTGCACCTGTGCGAGCCACTCGTACAATCAATTCTACGTCTCGCAGAATCGAACGCCGACGGGAATTCAGTGTCACCACCCACCTCATCCTGAATAAAACCCCCAATCATCCTTCTCAAGCCACCTGCGTGCCTTCGCCGTTGCTGCGCCTGGCCCGCCCCGGTCGCTGCGACTCTTTCTCATTGAACCCGGCTTCGGCCGCGCCTCTCTCGGCGGTGGTCAGCCACCTCGGCGCCTCATCTCTATGCCTTGCCATTTCCTCTCCTCTGTCTGTCACATCTGGCTACCATCCCAATTCGACCACATCCAGTCCAGCCTCAACTTTTAGTTCAACGCACCAACACAAGACGGAAGACACAGTATTCTTACCCACCGGGCCAGACCCGACCGCAATGCTCCCTCTGCGACCCGAGGCAGGACCCCGTCTGGTTTATTTCGCCTTGCATGGGGTCGGCTCAGGCGCGTCCCACCATACGCTCCTTGCCGCACACTAACACGAGCAACTCATCAAAGCCTGAATCCGCACTCACTCTGCGCAACCCATGAGCCTTCATTTAATTCCGCGTCCAAAAGAGACTTTATCGGTTTGGGAAACCCTCCTGACCTGAAGAGTTTTCCCTCAAGCAGAGATGTTGACAGTTGTTCCCTTTCGAGTCTTGCTCCGTCGATAAGATATGGTCAGGAAGTTGACTCGTCGAGACTCTAGAGGCTAGACCGACAGATAGGGGTCAAACCTCATCTCAAATGAAGAGAGCACGTTCGGATTGACAACTCAATTGTCTGAACGTGGCCTAGTGAGGGGGAAGAAAACTCTTTCAACTCAAGTTCTTCCTGTGAGAGAGAGACCCTTATCCGTACAGCGGCGCTAAACCCCAACCACCTCGCCCAACTCAAAAGGCACCAAGTCGTGCCTGGGCTAAGACAAGCGGGGGAAACGCATCTCGCAGAATGCACCGCAAAAAATGCAAGCAGCCGCCCGTGCCTCGTCCTGATTCGCCAGAATCCCCATTTCCAGCAAATGGAAGCCCACAACCAGCCCAGCCCAGCTCACACCGCTCTCGGTCTAGCGGTATCCCGCTTTGCTGCATCTCGCCCTCTCGATAGCCGAAGATCCCCCAAGAATGCCAAAGTCCAAAGTCTGTCCTGGGCTTCTTTCAACGGGCACTCGGTCTGTCTCGCCAATGCGCAGTAGCGTGTGGAGATCCCATTTTCAGCCTCAATCATCCTTCAACGTCGTCGTCAACATTGCCGTCGTTGTTGTGAGACCCATGTAATTCGTAGTCACATACCTACCTTGGGTATGCATAGGGTACTGTCAACTTACCTATATCACGCTCAAATATACCAGGAGCAGCCTGTCACACCGGCAAACGGCGCCGCCAAACGACGTCATCCCCCACCGCTGAAACCCCCGTCCTCAAGCCGCCCATCCTTGATTCAAATGACTTGTGTGTGTACATCTTCGTCAACCACATTTGCCAAACCCGCTCTTCTCGTGACAGCTTCAAAGTACAGATGCAATGCGTACAATCCACACTGGGAAATCCAATCACCATGCGGACAACTTCCCCAGCAACCAACACTCGCCCGTTCACACAAAAAACAACGTCGAAACTGAAAACAATCCAATGTGGCCGTGCATGAACCCCCCTCCCGTCCAACGCACGTCACAACATGAGAAAACTCTAAATGCGCGCCGGCCGCCTCTCCCTCTGCACCGCACAACCAGGCAAGGCCACCGTTGTCATGGGCTGCACGCGGCTGCACCCTCGGCCCGGAGCTGAAAATTGCATAGACATCGGACGGGACAGGTCGGCCGACGAGATACCTAACCTCAAGAGGCTGCTGTTGTCTCGTGCCTGGCAGGGACCAGGCTTCGGCCGTGGTTGTTTCGGCGCCAAGACTATGACAATGAACAACTCCGTCCCCTTGTAGAAGCCGGGCAATGGATCTTCAGAAAGCCACATGGGGAAAGGTAACGTGAGACCCGTATGAATTGCCAATTCCTGTTGTACCTGGATCGTTTGTTTAGCTTTGATCGTTTGTCCGAACGACCGGCGCACTCCGGCCCCGCAGCTTCGGAGACGGCGGCCAAGACCGGCCCTGTCAGTCTACGTAGGGAGGTACCTCGTCATGCGTCTCTGTCTCTGCCCTCACTCACCGTCTCCGCCCCCGGAGTAGAATTCGACACTGTCCATCTCGAATAAATCTTCGCCTCCAGAGTCTTTTGAAGAACCTCCTCATTATTCGGGGTGATGGTCGTTCATCAGGTTGATCGACTCTGCGAGTCTCCGAAGCCGCCTTCTCAGTTTCACCGACTGCTTGTTCGGCCTCACTGGCTCCTCGACCGGTCCTTGTCGTCTGCGTCGATGTCAGATTTGGGGTTTTCCAGGCCCAGCGCCAGCATCAGCGCATCAGTTTCCGCCGCGGCTTCCGTCTCTGCAGCAACGACCTTTTCTTTCGTCTTCTTCTTATCATCCCGAATCCGGTTGAATGTCTCCCCGACGGAGTACCTTCCTTCCTCACGGGGACCCCACACCTTCAACATCCAAACCTCAAACTCGACTTCGTTCCTGCACAGAAACCGGCCATTCTCGTCCTTGACCAGATCACCGTTCGAATCCCTCGCATACTCCAGCTCCATCTCCTCGTCTTCGCTTTGGGCTTTGTGACAGAACGACGACGGCCACCATCCAATCCAGTGGCTAAACCAGTCCGTGTCGAAGAGCTCGGAAGGATGTGTCGGGCTGGGAAGCTTCTGAAACTCGGTGATGGGGTGCCTAGGGTTAGTCTTGCCGGTTTTTGTCATGCACCAGACATGAGTGTGGGTGTAATCCAGGATCACGAGGCGCGGTTGGACCAGGTCATATTGGCCATGGCGCATGGTGATAAGGGCTTGGTCTGGGTCGACATCGCCAAATTCCATCCCCTGGTGCAACCAGTGTATTCCCTCTTCAATAAGTTGCCTCACAATTTCCTGCCTGGTCTCTTTGTGCAGCGAAAGCGAGATGCGTTGGCCGTTTGTATTCTGATGGAAGACATGGGTCTCATTGCGAGGAATCAAATCTCGAGTCTCAGGATGGCGTCGACACAGTGATTCGACGGACAGACCATCGACGTATTCCATAAGGATAACCGAAGCACATCTATACACCCTTTGCTTTTTTCCGTCGAGGCCAAGGTCGAATACTGCCACATAGGAGCCGTAGAACTCCGGCGCGATGTGCGGGAAACCGGTGAAGTTCTTGGCGTACAGGTGTCGATAGGCGCCATTCTCCCGACTGAGGGCTTTCTCGGCCGTCTTGTCTGCACTGCACCCGGGAAAAGGTGGGAAGAATACGGCGTCAAAGGACTTGCAAACGATCAATTCTGGCCAAATGCCGCCCTTCCGGGGGCCGTGGACGCAAGAGTCGTGGCTGCGGAGATGTTGCAGTGTCTTGCAGACGGTGATCTGAGCCCTTTTCCTTTTACCGGCTGATAGCGGTCTGACGATCTCGAGGACAACATCGGGAGTTGGCGGCAAGTTGGTCGGGTCGAAGCCCCGAACCCAGCCAGGAGGAAGGCCAGCAGATAGTGGATTTGGAATATAACCCTTGACGCCATAAGGATCGACCGGTTTATAGGAATAGAGGTTCAGACGCTGTGTCGGGTAGTAACGAGCGACTTCCAGTTCAATACTGGACTTGGATTTCTCGGACATGCTGGGCTACCGAGGTCGGCGGTCCACGAGGAGTCTGAGGGCAGGTTGGCGATTTTGCAAGACGGGCTGGTTGTGAGATTAGGCCGATGATGTCAGAAAGGAGTTGATAACGATCGAATTCCCCCTCGATAGCTAGTTGAGTAGGGATTGGGAAGGGGTTTGGAAGGGGTAGGGGGGGGCGGACAGAACCGCGATGGTCTCTTGCTGCTTCTGAAAAATCCTCAGATTTAGTAATGGAAAGTGATGAGATCAAACAGAGTCAAGGGAAGAGTAAAGGAGTTGGGTTTTGACGTTCCTAAGCGGCCGCTCAACGTAGAGGTATGTGATCCAAAAGTCACAGAACCTTTAAGGAAAGATTCGTGTGCTGTGCCTTCCGTAAAGGTTTCCAGGCTGAGCAACCTAGACAACGAGAGGCGCTATGCCCATGGTCGAAATCAGACTTTCCGCTCATTGTGTTTTTTTCTTTCTCTGTTTTCTCTTCGGCACTCCAGGTACTCCCAAACCGTAAATGTCGCTCTTGCGCAGCCGCTTCCGCATCTCTCTTCAAAATTCATGCAGCTCTTTCCAAAACCTTTCTAGGCACCCTCTGTTCTTCATCTTACCATCCTCTTTTCGCCCAACAAACCACAATCGACAACGCAGCATAGCACTTCATCATGGAGGAATTTATTGAGCTTGCAACCTGGGATAAGCCTGAGGAGATGTATACTGTTGGCAAAAAGCTGACCCTATTTCCATACGAGCCGGTACGCCCATATGGCACGCCCGCGTACCATCCACCTCGAGGCGTGCGCAACTTCGACCCCAATGCCGACTTCGCCAAGACTCAAGCCAAGGTTCAAATCGAGAAAATCATACGCGTTGGTCCCGAACGAGAGTCTCAAATCTTCAGCTGCAAGGTACTGGAGGCACCGGTCGAAGAACGCCCAGCCTTCTACCAGTCACCTCTCAGCCTGATCCCCAAGAACAAGGACTCCAAAGCCCGCCGCCCGCCCGTGGCTAGGAAGCTCGTCGGCAAGGTCTACGACAACACATGGCTTCCTAGCTGCTTTGTTAGCCCTAGCCCTGATACAGGTTACTTCAGCCGTGAGCATGCCGCCTACGCCTACTATCGCTGGAATAAGAAGACGGGCTACCCGCATACTATGCCACAGTTCTACGGTGGCTGGGTGACGAAAGTTAAGTATGGTACGAATATGATGGGTGAACCACAATTTAAGTACGTTGGTCTTATCCTCATTGAGTACATCGACGGCCGCTCTATTGAGGACCTATGTTATCGCGAAGATATCGAAGAAGGATACATTGACGAGCTCTGCCCTTATGAATTTTCTTTTGGCATTTCTGGCGAGGGCAACCAGATCAGGCGTGTTACTTTTGACGAGAAGAATCGACAGCTTGTTATCCAGATAATGCTCCACGGTATCTGCCAAGGTTTCCAACTCGGGGTCGAGCATCACAATCTTTCCCCGGAGAATGTATTCGTTACGTTAAGGAACGGTACGCAGGACTTGGAAGAATTACGAGTCGTGTTTCTTGATCACGAAGATACTCAGGTATGGTTCGAGACAAAATTTTCGGAACTCCCCGGGAATTTAAGCTACTGTTTACAGAAGCTCCCTTTCCCAACCCACCCTCGGGAAAGATGCAGCGTCAAGGGTTTGACGGAATTTCAAGGCTGGTGGCCTCCATCTGGACACGATCGTCCTGCAGACGAGGTAGAAAAAGTGTTTAAGCAGTGGCTTCTAAGTGAAGCGGTCTTTGGTCCCCTTGTTGAAGCGACGGACAAGAAAGACTTGGTCAAGCCGGACAAGATGCGGCCGTACGCCAACAAAAGGTATTCTACCTTCGACACGCTGGACTTGATTGGGGAGAGACAGGACGCAATGCGAGGCGTCATAATTCCTCAAGTTCTCAGCCTTCTACGCAACCTTGAAGACAAAGATTCTTTGGGGCAGGAGATGGAGACGGCTATTCAGAGGGCATTGGAAAAGGTCACCTTGCATAACACCGTCACAGGCTCGCGACACCCGCCTTCGCACCACAAACTTCGGCGAAGACGTCTTGATTAGGACTGTGCTGATTCTGGTATCGCATGAAGGCTACTCGGTAATGAATATACACTGTTCGATCCATGTTTTGATCTCACACTGCTGTAAGCCGGGATACAACTCTCATCCCAAATATACCTGCATCCACCATTATTACTTGCACTAAGTCCTCCCGCCTCAACCCTTCTCACACCTTATCCCAAGACGCACCGTCTCCTGCCAACACCACTCATAGTGCCATGCTGACTTTCTTTGAGAATTATCGCCTCGCAGACTCATACATGCATAGTGCACCTTTGAGTTAGGCTATCAAGTCTTTTATCAACTCAAGGAGCAACCCACCTTCCTCCTCCTGGGCGGGCACTTTGCGTTTTCCATTTGTTTTGCTTTAAAACCTTGCTGCAAACTTGCTTTTGTAGCGAAAGACCGGTCTTCTATTCTCTCTGAGTGGATCACGATGATGCTGCAGTGAGCGACGCAGGGGATCACGATGTCAATGAATGGAGTATCACGCTTCTCTGTTATGCTGATCAAGTGTCACACTTCCCTTCACTGGTCTTTCTTCCTTGGCCTCTCGATGTCGTCGAGCCCGTACCACTTTCAGAGCGTCTCGAACCTGCTCAACGTCTGGAACGTCGTGTGAGCTCCCGGCCTCTTCAGCCCGCAGATTTCTCAAAGCGTCCTTGAGGTCGCGAAGCTCTTGCGCTTTTTGAAATGCCACAGCCTGTCTAGCCTCTCTATCCTCATGAGCCCCGAAGAACTGGCGGAAGTAGTCGATCTCATCCTCGTTGTCATTGTCGTCCTCGTCATAGTCGTCGTCGTCGTCGTCGTCGTCGTCGTTGTTATTATCATCGGCGGTGGCGTCGTCCGTGACATCAATGGCAACATCCTCGATCTGTCCACCCTTCTGCTCCCGCCTCTCTTTCTCCTCGTACCACTCAGCGTGCGCATCTTTAAAGGCTCTCTTGGCCGCAGCAACCACTGCATCCATCGCCAGCTCCATCGATTTCTCCTTCACAGCGGCCCACTCTGCTGCCTCCTCGGCCTCCTTCGCGTGGTCCCTCAACCAGTCTCGTAACGCCTTCTCCACCGCGAATGCCTCCTTCGCCGCTGCCTCTCTCGCCCTCTCCTCTGCCTCTTGTATCAGGTACAAAGTCTTATAGACGGAGTATCTCCCCTCCTCAAACGGGCCGAAAGTCTCCACGAGCCATTCATCATACTCGACCTCGCATTTATGGCGGAGCCGGCCATTGTCATCCCTGATGCGAATCCCTTCGGAGTCACGGGCCCACTCGGCTTCTCTTGCCTCATTATCGTTCGTCGTCTCGTAGCAGTACGACGAAGGCCAAAATCCGATGGTACTATGTAGCTCCTCAAAGTAAAAAATCTGCATCGGGTGGACAGGCTTCGGGAGCTTTTGCAGGTCGTAGAGACGATGTCTGTCGACAGTTTTGCCGACACGCGTCATACACCATATATCGCTCATTGTATAGTCCAAAACCACCGCTCGGGGCACCTCCAGGTCGTGTTGGCCATTTTTGATGGTAATCATGATCTGGCGGGCCTCAATGGCCCCGAACTCCAACCCCACGTGCAACATCTTGACCAAGCCATCGAGCACTTGTCTCATGACCTCCTTTCTGTTCTGCTTGTGAAGTGCAAGGGTGACCGGACTACCGTTGGCATCATAGTGAAAGATGGGGAGCAGGTTGCGGGGGATGAGCTCATGCGTAGTGTCATGACGGGTACTTAGATTCTCCATTGAGAAGCCTTCGACATGCTCCATGAGAATGACCGGAACGCACCTGTAGGCTTGGTGCTTGTCCTCAAGTTCAAGGTCGATGAGGTTATCGTCTTCAAATCCAAGGTCAAACACTGCGACATATGTGCCATAGAACTCGGGTGTTGGGTGAGGGAAACCGGTCATCTTGTTCGAGTAGAGGTATCGATAGGCCCCAGCCTCTCTGCTGAGCGCCGCCTCCGCTGCCTTATCCACACCACGACCCCCCAGGATTGGGTAGAAAGGGGGGTCAAATGCCTTGCAGACAACGAGATCGGGCCATTGCTGACCCTCGCGAGGACCCTGGACATTGGGGTCATGGTGGTTCTCGAGATTCATCACAATCCTGCATGCGGTGATCTGATTGCACTTCTTGATGCCACAGGACAGGCCCTCGAAGACTTCAAGGATAAGATCCGGAGTCGGAGGTAGATTAGTCGGATCAAAGCCTCGGACCCAACCAGGTGTGAGGTCATCCGGCAAATTATTCGTCAAGTACTTTGTGGTTCCGTGGGGATCAACGGGGGTGTACGAATACAGATTCAGCCGACGGCCTGCCCTGTAGCGCCGAGCCTCCATTTCTATCTGAGGCCAAAACTTCTGAGACATGGCGAGTGCTGAGTTCTGGAAGCTGGAAGTGGTGGTGTGCTGATGATGGAGTATTATTGGTGATGAACTGTGTTGGTTGTGAGTGATGGCAGAGTAGTGTGACTTGTCGAAGCCTGATAAGCAGGCGCATGAAAATGGACAAGTATGGAGTCGTCCTGTGTTTTCTGCTGTCATGTGTTATGAGAGAGGTCAAACGGAGAAACAGCTTTGCATTGCGATACCTCTCAAGGTTACCCGTAGAGCTTGTTTTTGGAACCTGCTTGGTTTTAAGCCGTTGCCGCTGGCGTGTCCTTGGGGCTTTGTTGTTGCTCCGCAAGTCTTCTTCTCTCTTGTCGCTGTCGAAGAAGGTCCTCTTTGACCGCATCAAGCGACTTGAAGAGCGAATATTTGCCATACGGGTATGGCCATTCAGCGCCGTCCTCCAAACCCTTCTCGACTTCCGCGGCCTCGACGAGCGGACCGAACACCTCTTCGCTAATAATCCAATCTTCGTACTCCTTCTTGCTGTCGAAAGTAGCTGGTTCATTGCCGTACCAGCCGTCCGGGGGCGACGGAAACCAGCCGACAAAGTCGTCAACAGCCCTGAAGCCGAATCGAAGCCGTGGGTGCGGCGGGTATGCCAGGTGTTCAAGGAGCTGTTTGAGCTCTAACAGCCCTTGTGCCTCCGTAGTCTTGGACCAGACCTGCGCTCGCATATACCCAAGAAGGACAGCTCTTGGCTTTTCCAGGTCGAACTCCCCATCACGCATCGTGAGATAGATGTTCTTCGGTTCAAACATTTCGTGTTTGACGCCGACGTGAAGATGGCACACGGCTCCGTGTAGAGCCTGCTTTAATATGTCTTGGCAAACTTCTTTCTCTAGTTCGAGACAAACCTGGCCCTCTTCCGCATCATCGGAATCGTGAAAGAAGACACGACCCTCGAAAGGGAGAAGCTGACCATATTCGTCCCTATGACAGAGAGCCTCGATTGAATGGCCGATTATATGCTCCCTCAGAACAACACCAACGAAGCGTTCAGTCACACGGCCAGTAGATCTCTGTCGGGCTTGGATGCGTGCAACCCAGCAGCCATAATACTGAGGCGCAAAGTGGGGGTGACCTGTTAAGCCCTTGGTGAAGAGATGTCTGAGAGCTGCATCTGCGCAGCTCAGATTTCCGTCAGCTTGCTCGTCATTGTCGTAGGGAGCACCTGTGCCACCAGGGTAAAATTCTGGATCGAAGATCTCTGCAACAATTTGCACCTTGACAGGCTCGCCGTCCTTGGTCAACTGAGTGAGTTCTTCCGGTGATCGTTGATGCTTGGGGGCGTCAACCAGATTGCAGGCAAGGATTTGGGCAAGATGATTGTCACCGCCGTGAATCATCTCGTCAATCTCGATGACTGCGGCTTCCTCGGCCCTGTTGTTCACATTTGTTGGGTCAAAGTTTCTCATCCAACCTGGATGGAGGTCGCGGGGCAACGGATTGCGCGTGTACTGTGAGCGTCCGTGGGGTTCTGCGGGCTTGTACGGCCATAGTTCTAGTTTTGTTCCCGGATGATACTGCTTCGTGGGTGATATGTATCGGAATGTCGACATTTTGTTGTAATTATGCTCCGGAGGTTCTGCAAGGAAATCTGGATCGAGAACTACTTTTCGACTCTGGTACAGGTTGAGATGGTTGATGGCTGCTGGTCAAGAAACGCAGGGTAAGATGAGGGTAGTGATGAAGGTGAGGGGGGTTGGGTCGGTTTGAGACGCAGTAGACACGGCGCACAAGATGAAGAGAAAATGAGAAGCCGCAGAGGTGGGCTTGGGATAGTTATGGGTGCCCTTGCTGGGGTTCACAAATGGTCGATCTGGAGGATTTCAATATTCCCTCTCATGATTTGGGCATACTTCTTGCAGGATTGGTATCGACTTTGGGACCAAGCATGTTTGCTGTATTAGATCGACTGCTTCTCCTGTGTCTTTAACCTACCTTACCGTGGTTACCGTTACTGTATCGTCGTCGTCGTCGTCATCGCCGCTCACATCGTCTTCGATAAGGGCAATGAAGCACACAGGACATAAAGCCGCACAGACACAGGGAAGTTAGGCGGTCTCTTAATTTCTTTCTACTATTTGTAACCTTTCGTCTGCGCAGTGGACAGATTGATATCGGCAAGAGCCTGCACATTTGCGTCACTATCTTTCTTGAGCTCTTCCTCCTCTAGCTTTCTGCGTCTCTCCTCTCGTTCCACCAAGAGTTTTGGCTTAATTGGGTCGAGCGTCTTGAATAGAGAGTACTTCTTTACGGATGCGGCCACTCAATGCCCTCACCCAGCTCGGCCTCCACATCCGCAGCCTCAACCAGTGGCCCGAAAGCCTCGTCACTCACAAGCCATTCATCGAATTCAGCTTCGTTATCGAAGTCATCTGGCTCGTCGCCCTCCCAGCCCACTTCAGGGGAGGGCCACCATCCTATGAAGTTCTCAAGTCCTGTGACACTAAACCGCTGGAAAGGATGAGGTGGATGGGGAAGATGCTCCAGTAACTGTACGGGACCCTTGGGGCCCTTGGCCATTTTTGTCTTTGACCATACCTGTGTGTTCGTGAAGCCAAGCAGCACAGCCCTCGGCCAATCCAAACCCACCTTTCCGTTGCGCAAGGTGATGAATACCTTGCGCGGCTCGAAGACATTATGCTGAACGCCGATATGCATGTGTTCGACGAGACCATTGACGGCCTGCTTCATGACTTCTTGGCACAGCTCCTTGGAAATTTCCAAAGTGTGGAATCCATCGTCAACATCTTCGGGTATGTGGAAAACGACGTCGCCATCAGGAGGAACAAGTTCGTCGTATTCATCGCGATCGCAAATATCCTCAATTGAGTGGCCACTGATGTACTCCTCGAGGACAAGGCCGACGTATCTGAAAGCGTTCTTGTCGTACGTATCAACACGGGTCGCCCAGCAGCCGTAATATTGGGGAACGACATGTGGGTGTCCAGTCTTATTCTTCGAGAAGAAATGCTTGAGTGCGGCGTCAGTGCGGCTGAGGTTGCCATCGGCCTGTTCTGCGTTGCTGTAAAATGTGTACTCGTCGCTGGGGTAGAACTCGGTGTCGTAGAGGAAGCCGACTACCTGCGTGCCATCTCCGGGCAGCCTGGCAGCATCGCCCCGATACGAAACTGGCGGTTGAATGACGTCGAATAGAATGACCTGAACCGTGTTATTGTTGCCTCCGGAAATGACCTTGCTGACTTGAAGCACGGCTTGCTTGTCGACATCTTCCTTGCGTGTGCTGCGAGTCATCTCGAGATCGAAATCTCGAAGGTGATCAGGGGGAAGATCATCCGGTAGAGGATTCCGAGTGTACTCAGACAGGCCGTGGGGCTGCACTGGCTCATACTGCCAAAGAGTCAAACGCGTCCCGGCCTTGTACTGCTGGGCGGCCGTGATGTATTGAGATGGGAACATCTTGTAGCTGACAGAGATTGCGTTGATGGTTGAAGAAGGTCGGGCTGTCGCACGTGTCGAGTACGCTTGAAGACGCGGTGGCAGGCTCGGCAAGAACAAGAAGTAAGGGTGATGCTGGGAACAGAGAATTTGAGTAATTCTGAATTCAGATGGTGCAGGTCAGCAGGCTCAGTGTGTCAATTTCATTCTGGCAGATAAGCCATTTCTAATAGGGAGAAGGGTTGTAGTGGCTGATACTCATCAAGGTTACCTACACACGGAATTGGGGGCTTAAACACATAAATAGGCCGACCTTGACATCACATAAGTAGTTATCTTGGAAGGAAGTAGCAAGTAGTGGGTAGCACTGTACACTAGGAGAAGTTCTTGATTGTCTTCGCTTTTGATGACATTGTGAAAGGCATGAAAACAGTCAACACGCCCCCGTCAACTCAACTCAACTCAACGGACGGCAGAGATGACGACAATAAGGACGACAACGATAGGGACGACAGCAGTAGACACGTATTGAGCATAGCACATGAAGGGTAGGAGTTGCTTTTCCCTCGTGTGATGTGGACAGAGCATTTCGGCCCTCGGTGCATTTTGTGAAGAATTCTTTTGTGAATTTTTGTATAACCAGGGATATATGAGAGGTCCCCCTTACTCTAACTACTCCCTATATATCTAACTACCCCTATTAACTACTACTACGCTATAGCGATCGTGTATATATCCTTAAGTTCCTTTAATAAAACGCTATACTTTAATAATACGAGATACTTAATTTAATTAATATTATATAGCTTATTCGTTTTAAAGTTTATTTTAATATACTTAAAATATCTCTATACTTTAGCTTAATAATATATTATTTTATTAAAGTATATTAATAGAAAGTAGTAGTATATTTAATATACTATTAAACTTTATACTAGGGGATTAAGTTATATATATAAAAATCTATATACTTTATCTTAGTTCTTTTAAGTAATTATAAAGAGGTTATTACTACTTTTAAAGTAATAATAGATAGTATTAACGTAGTATAGTAATAATATCTTAATATTAAAGGAGTAATAAGTTATAGTAGTGTAAAGAGGGAGATACTTACCCCTTAGCGATTCGCGCTCTCTTTATATACTTTTATAAGTAGCTATAGAGGTTTCTCTCCTAAGCTATCCTAGTTCTCAAATATTTCCCCGTGAGAGTTATACGGCAGTTAATAAGGTGCGCCTCTAGGCGGCAAACTGCGGAAGAAAAGTTAGAAGGGAAGAAAGATTCGGCCCTCGGTGGACCGTTTCCCCCAGGCTTTTGCAACATTCAAGCGCACTTTGGTGGCACGAAGTTACTATGAGGAGGGTTATGGCTTTTCTATGGCCGCTCCTTGTTCCATCGCCTTCTTAGCCCACTTGGCGCGAGGTAAAAGGTGGTTGGTCTTTCGCTACGAAAGCGAATAGACACCTGAGCTGTGAGAGTGTCAAAAATTCAAATTGTCCAAAAACGGCAAAAGGATATGTTCCGAAACCGAGAATCGAACTCGGGGCTATGCCTAACCTCGCATCACGGATGAGAGGGCATCATGTTGGCCACTACACCATATCGGATGGATGTGTGATTGTTGAAGTGGGGAGACGGCAAAGCTCTTCATCAACGAAGACGCCAAGGTGGGGCTTCTCTCTTCATTAACCAGGTTGGCAGGACAAGCACAAGTTTCGCGCTAGATGATGCCTCAGGGTCGAACAACCACTTCAGACATCTCAAATGGTTGGAAGTCGATGATAACATGAGAGCAAGTCGATGAAGGTGATGAGCAGTGATGCAGGATATGAGATTCAAGAGCTGGCATGAGTGACGTGGAGGTGGATTGCAGTTCTCCGGGGCTTACGTCAGAGCTCCAATGACTAATCGCTGCTCAGTATCGCACTCATTTGCGTTTGCCCTTGCCGAAACCCCTGTAAATGCGGGATTTTTAGGTTTCAGCTACACCACTACCCTAAATATCAATTAATATTATCGTTTTTATTATTTTTAATTAGTTTACTAGTAATTAATACTATTTGTATTAATTTATTTATATTTTAACGTTATTTATAGCTCTAGGAACTATATAAAGCATAATATATATATTTAGGGGTAAGATCTTATTATATATAATAGTATTAGCTTATAAATCCTTATAAACCTAAGATTTATTATATATATTATAAAATCTAATATAGTATAAAAGTATAATATATATATATACTAATATAATATATAATTAACTATATAATAGTTATAAAGAAGTTATTCTCTCTTTTATTAGCTTTTAGAAAGATTAAGCTAAAGTTTATAACGTTTTAATATACTTAATTAAACTTAAAATATATTATTTTTAAGGAATTAAGCTAATCTTAGTTATTAGTACTTATAAAGTTATTTATAAAGTTAATAATTACTAGAAATAAATATAGAGGTATATCTTTATATAATAAGAGTTTTATAAACTTATTACTAATAAGGGTAAATCTAAATTTATATAGCTATACCTAAAGAGGTAGTAATATTTATAAACTAACTAAAATTTAAGTTTATATATTTTTAAGTAGATTATATATAGTTTTTATAAATTAAGTTTTAAATACCTCTTTAACTAAGATACTAAATAATATAAATAATATTAATATAGAAAATAATATAAATTAAAAAGAAGAAGTTAATAATAAAACTAAAGAAAAAAAAATATCTATTTAGTATAAGATAATTAATATAATAGACCTAGAAAACCTTAAAAATACTAGATTTATAGAAGAAGAAGAAGTTAAACTATACTAAGAGAAACTTATTTTTAATACTACTAATAAACTTTTTAACTTTAAAGAACTTATTTTACTATTTAAAATTTATTAGTTTAAAATTCTTATTTAACTTAAGGTTATATTTCTTCTTAGCTTTAAGTTAAAGTTTAGCTTTAATATCTATACTTATATATTTAAGACTTATAATCTTATTATTAAATTTATAATATAGTTTAACTATAATATTATAAAATAACTACTAAAAAAGTTTAATTATTTATATAAAGATTATTAAGTTATTATTAAAAATATAAACCTATTTTATAAGTTTAAATAAGAAATAGTTTTAAAGAAAGGTTTTAAGTAATACTTATTAACTTATTAATAGTATTTTATATATTAAGATTAACTTATTAATATTATTACTAAGGATATTAAGTTGGCCTCTGGCCGTTCACTGTGATTGTTACCTGCTTAGAGCGACAGACCTCCTAACTCCGCGCCTCCTGACAATACACACAGCCTTCGGTCACGTGATCCTCTCCCAACCTCAGCCGCACTTACATGTGCACGTCAGTCAGCGCGTTCTCTCCTTGCTCTCCGCGTTTCGTCCAACCGTGCTGACCCGTCTCCAAGCACCAGACAACTTCACTATCTTCAACTTCACTTCGGTAACGATGTAGTTTGTGATTACTCAATTACTTAATTACTGACTACTGAACTGTCGACCTATCCTCTCTCTCGCGCATCACCCGCGCCGCCAACACCGTCCCCATCACTGCTTCGCCGTCCGCCATAGTGGCTTCTTTGGAAGCAAGTCGTCACTGTCGTTGTCTTCTTGTTCGATCGGGCCGGCTGACGCCTTCGCAGCAGCTGTGCCGTCGTCAGCAACGTTCTCTCTGTGTAATCGGCGCAAGGCGTACTCACCGTCTCTATGCGAGCCTTGCGTCCTCTTTGGCACCCTTGAGTGCCTCAGAGAAGAAGTCCTACTTATTAGGGTGGCTAAGGATATAGTTGAACTTCGCGTTAATGTTGTCTAAGGCTTTCTTAGCGAGAGGGATAACGTCGCTACCTATAGGGGCTTCTAGGAGGCTTATCGACAGAGCTATTAGGATGATATGCTTTTGGTTTTCTTTGGATTGTTCTTTGAATGGGAGCTTCTCGTTAAGCGTGCTGAGGTTGAACTTGTTCTAGATGCGTCGTGCGTTGTTCACAGAGATAAGCGCGCCGCCTGGCTTGCGCTCGGCGAACTTGAGTGCTTTGCGTGGTGTGGATATCGTGAAGGATTTGTTGTGGGTTGTAGGAAGAGGAAGAGGGAAGGGCATGAGGCCCTGCGTGCAGCAGAGCTTTTTATGCTTCTGGCTGTGAGAACCTCTTGTGACGACCTCTTTGGTTGAGGAGTTATCTCCGTTTGGTGGCGTTTGCACCTTGCTGGAAGGTTCAGTGAAGCTGTCGCTAGGCTATGAGAGCCTCAGTGACCCCTTCGGCCCTGATGTGATCGGCCCCGCTACGTGCGGCGCCGCTGGCCCCGCGCTGCGCGGCTGGCGCTGTTGCTGTTCCGCTGGTCTATTCGGCCAGGGCGTGCGTTCGACTTTGTGTGGTGATGTTCAGAGGGTTTGCCTGCTAGCAGGAATGTATGGGGTTTCTGTACTGTTTTCCTTAATTGGTAGAGGGCATAGGTTAAAGTGCCTATATAGTGTTTCTAGAATTGTGCCTGCGTATAGGGTGAATTTTGCTGTAGTCTTTTTGCGGGGGGGCTGCGTCGTAACTATAAACTCAAGGATATTAAGTTAAAGAAATAACTAAAGCTATTAATAAGTATAAATAGTTTAAAGCGTTTATTATAAAATTATATACTTATTATAGTTATTTATTAATAATAAGCTAAAATACTATTAGTACTACTATTTTAACGCTTTATACTATTATCTTAATACTCTATATATTCTATAATTAAGTAGAGCATTTTAGTTTAATAAGTAATATCCTTTATATTTAAAACGCTTTAATTTATATTTAATATACCTCACTCTATAATATTAACTTTATAAGTAGTATAAGTAAATAATAATAACTATAATATTATATTAAATTAACTAATACTATTTAAAGTATAGTTTAAGTAATATAATATATAATCTATATTAATTTAATAACTTAACTTAATACTAATAGAACTTTATATATAAGAGTAATAAGTATAAGCTATTTATTTAGAATTATAGTATAAATAGAAATATCTACTTACTTTTAAGTATAACTCCTATTTAGATAGTAATAATAAATATTACTATTATACTAATAGGAGAGTAAACCTTAAGTATTATTAAATATCTAAGGATATTATAGCTAAATAGGTATTAAAGATTATAAATAGTAATATTATTATTAAAAAACTATTAACTTTAATACTTAAGATAATTAAAACCTTAGCTAATAAGAAGAAGATAATAAAAAAGATTATATTAATAAGTAAAGTAATATTAAGTATAATATTAAGTAGTTAAGTAACTTAAGATAATACTCTTTAAGTATTATTAACTAGAAATAGATTTTACTTTATAAATTAAATTAATATATTATTACTTTATATATTATATATAATATTAATATTTATAGCTATATTATTAACCTCCTCTATTAGTTCTATTATTTACTTTTATAAAGCTCTCTATAAAAACTTTAATATTATTACTAATAAAAGTTAGTACTTTTCTAGCTATACTTTATTTTAAAGTACTAATTCTATTATTATTACTAGTTATACTTAAAGATAAGCTTACTCTTAATCTTATCTTATAATATTTTAAATAGTTATAGAAAAATATACTATTTAGTATTATAAAATAAAATATAGCTTTCTACTAATTATTAATAGATATTAAGGATAAAGTAATTAATATCTATTAATTTTAAAAATTAGATATAGAATAGTTTAAAAACTTTAAAATTCTATTAAGTTTTATATTTATAATTAAAAGTAAAATTAAATAATTCTTAAGTAATATAGAGGTTATAAAGTAGCTTATTAATTTTATATTTAGGTTTAATAAGTTAAGTATAGCTATATAAAAGGATTTAACTAATATATTTATATATAAACTTTTAATATAAACTAAGAAATAGCTTAATTTATAAAGATAAAGAGTGAATATTTAAGAATAATAGATTAAGAGAGTAAAAACTTTAATAATAAAGTTAGTAGTATATAGTTTAGATTTATTTTATTTATTTATTTACTATCTTTAATAACTAAATTTATATATAATATATTTAACTAGCTAATATATATATAGAAATAAAAAAATATAGAGAGTAATATATTATTAATTTTATTAACTTTATTAAAAATATTTAATAAATTATTATAAGAAGTAGTTATTTAGTTATATAAAGTTATCTTTTTACCTTATAAGTATATTAACTTACTTATATAGTATATTTATATTTACTTTAAGAGGAAATATTAAGTATTTAATATACTTTTATATTAGCTAGAACTATATAAAATATATATTATATATATATATAATATTATTTTATAAGTATTTTCTTCTCTAATTTTTAAATAAACTAATAGTTCTATATAACTATAATTAAATACTTTTAATACTTCTTAATAAATAGAAAGGATTAGTTTAAAGTTTATTATATATCTAAAAGTAGAATAACTATTATATATATATTAAATAATTATTATAATCTCTATTTAATATCTCTCTTAATATATTTATAATATATAAATTATAGATATATATTATTTATTAGTAAATTATTATTAAATAGGTATAATCTATATAGTAGTAGACTTTTAGGTTTAATATTATTACTAAACTAAGCTTATAAGTAGATCTTTTTAACTAATAATATATTTACTCTAAGGAACTATATTAAGCTTTTTAGTATATTTTTATATTACTTAGAGCTATATAAAATATATACTAAGTAGATATATAAAGTTATACTATAGGTCTCTTCTTTTATTTCCTAGTAAATATTATCTTAGTTTTTTATAATAGTAATATAAACCTTTTACTAATTAATTAGTATAAAATAAGGTAACTAGTTAGGTTAATAATACCTTTATAGGTAAACTAACTATTATAAAACTATTAAGTTTATATTATTATCCTTATTTAGTACCTCTCTTAATATATTAATTATAAATAAACTATAAATATATACTATTTACTAATAAACTATTAGTAAATAGGCTATATAGAAATAGACTTTTAGGCTTAATATTATTAATAAGCTAAGCTATTTAGGGAATTATTCCTACTATTAACTACTAAATCCTATTAGCTAGAAGCTAAGTAGTAAAAATAATTACTATATAATATAAATTTATTATATTTAATACTTTTTTATATATTATTAATTAGTAGCCCCCTATAATATATAAATATATAGACTATATATAGTTATCTACTATTTTTAACTATAATTATTAGCTTTTCTTCTAGTTTTTATAATTATAAGTTTCTCTTCTAGCTATAGTAATACTATTAAGTTAAATATACTTAAAAGGATATTAGCTATAACCTCTATAATAAATATTATTAATAAGTATATAGGTATTAGTATACCTTATTATTATATAATTATTATACTTAAATATAGTTTAAATAGAGAGATATATATATAGTTAAGCTAATAGAAATATAACTTTAATAATATATAGCTATATTATATTCTTCTATCTATATAAGATTATTACTATATTTAGCCTATTATTTAGTAAATACTTTAGAGATAAAATTATTATTAAGCTTATAAGTTTATAACTTTATAATATTTTATACTTAAGCTTTACTTCCTTTATTATTAAAAGAATCCTCTTTTAGTATATTAATCCTATAATATTAAAAGTAGTTTATAATCTACTCTAAGTATAAACTAATAGTAATAACTACTTTATAGAGAAACTACTTAAAGAATATATTTATTATATCTACTTACTTATAATATATAAAATAATACTATAGATATACTTTTAAATTACTAAAAAATACCTCTATAAAGTTATAATCTAATAAGTATAGAAGTAAGTATAATAAATAAATATTAATAGTATTATATACTATCTAAAGCTTTAATATATAATACTAACTTATATTATTTATAACTAAAACTAAGTTTTACTTTAGGAATAAGTTTATAAGTAATAATATTAAGTACTTAATCTAATATAAGAAGCCTTCTTAGTTTATATAGCTAAAATATATAATATAGTAAAGAATATTATTAAGAGTAAATACTAATAGTATATAATACTATTCTCCTTATTTTAATATATTTCTCTTTAAAAATTAAAAACTTCTTAGTAACTATACTATTTTTTTAGCTCTATTATAGTAATTAATACTACTTTTATTAATAAAAATAAACTAATTAGCTCTAATATTATAAATATCTTATTAATACTTTAAGTATTTTTTATTATTTCTCTATAGAGTAATATATCTAATTTTCTTCTTTTATTATTATATTACTTTTAAGTATTATAAAATTATAGAGATTAATACCTCTAAATTAAACTTATTAATAAGAAATATCTATAGCTTATTAAGATAGATATCTAACTTATTATATAATAGCTTAAGTATTACTTTTTTATATAATAATATTAACTTATAGTTACTAAAACCTTTTAGTTAATATAGCTTTAGTATATCTTCTATAGTAATAAATAAAGTATAATAATATTAAATAGTATATTTTATATATTAAACTATATTTACTATAGCTATAATACTAAAGAATTTAACTAATAAAAGCTTCTTAAGTAGAGCTTTTTACTTTATATTAAGGAGTAATAATATTATTTAGTATATATAAATTATTTATTTAATTAATTTATATCTCTTTATCTTAATACTAATATATTAATATATAATAAAATTAATAAAGAAAAATAAAAGTTATAATATATTAGCTAAACTTAAGCTATTTATATTATATTATTAATATATATTATAGTTATAGCTATAGCTTTCTATTATATTTATATATTATATACTATAAGAAGTATAAATATAAAAATATTACTTTATTTATCTAAGACTATTTTAACTAATAATTAGACCTATATTTAATTTTAATAAGAATAGTTTAACTTTATAACTTATAAGCTTAAATATAACTAAAAATATAATATTAATAAGATTTATTATAAGGGATATATAATTATATTAATAATAACGTTAATTTAAGTTTATAATACTATATAATTATTATATATTATCTATAATTAATTAATAATAGTAGAAATAATAGAAAATAACGAAAAGATAATACTAATTGATGTTTAGGGTAGTGGTGTAGCTGAAACCTAAAAATCCCGCATTTGCAGGGGTTTCGGCAAGGGCAAACGCAAATGAGTGCGATATGCATGTAACAGGGGCACAAACAACCTCTGAATTCGGCTTCGACATCTCATAGAAACAGCTTCATACGACCGCCACGACTTCGAAAAACTGTCAGAAAGGTCAATTTCGTCAATTGGAAGAGTGTGTTCAGATACCCATATGCTTCTCATCACACTATGCTCACTAGCCTTGGCAGCACCATCCCTCACATGAGTACCAAGCTTCCAAGGGCATCAGCGCATATAAGTCGACGAGTTTGCGGGGCAACGTTCACACCTCGAATTCGTCTCCCTTCAACAACACACGTCCCTCGAGCTCACTTCACAACAAGTATCCGCCTGCGACAAGCACAGGACGTTCTCAAAATGGCCGCCAGCAACAAGTACTCCTCCCCCAGCTTCACCAGCCTGGTCGTGGATGCTATGAGAAAGCAGTAAGACCCCGCACCCCCCTCATTCATACATCTCACACTCACAACCGCCACAGCTACCCCGAAGAGCTCGCAGACAGACGCTGGGACAACGTTGGTCTTCTCCTCGGTAATATCGAGACTCCGGCTTCCCGCCAGCCCAAATCCCCCGTCGTTCTCCTCACAAACGACCTCACCTACGCCGTCGCGGAGGAAGCAATCCAGAAGAACGCCAGCGTCATCGTCAGCTACCGTCCGTTTTACCACTCTCCTATCCATCACCAAATCTAACCATCCTTCCAGATCCCTTCATCTTCTCCGGCCTCAAGTCAATCACCACAAACGACCCGCAACAAGCAACCCTCCTCCTGCTTGCCGCCCATGGAATCGCAGTCTACTGCCCGCACACCGCCGTCGACGCCGCCCCCAACGGCCTCAACACCTGGCTCGGCGACATCGTCTCCGGCGGCCCCGCCACCTCCTCCACCACCGCCGCGCCCTCCGAGCGCACCGTCGTCACCCCGCTCTCCTCCGCCCCCGCCGGCTTCGAGGGCTCCGGCTACGGCCTCCTCTGCACCTTCCGCCAGCCTGAGTCCCTCGCGGCCATCATCCGCCGCGTGGCCGAGCGCGTCGGCATGCGCCGCGTTATGGTCGCGAGCCCGGACCCGAAGCGGGTGTCGACGGCGCGCGTCGACGCCGTCGCCGTGTGTGCCGGCAGCGGGTGGGACGTCGTCAAGGGCGCGCGCGCGGACGTCATCGTCACGGGAGAGATGAGTCACCACAATGCGCTCAAGGCCGTGCAGGAGGGCAAGACGGTCGTGACGGTGTTCCACAGCAACTCGGAGAGGGGGTACCTGACGGAGGTGATGAAGCCCCTGCTGGAGGGCGAGTTGAAGGGTCAGGAGGCGGGTGTGCAGGTGTTTGTGAGCGAGGCGGACCGGGATCCGTTTGACATTATTGACATTTCGGAGTTGTAAGAGGCGGGGTCAGGGGTTCACAAAAAGGAGAAGCAGGTCTAGAAAAAAGTGAAGAGATTATGAATTTGTGCGGGGAAACGATTCCCATAGCAATGCAAAGGTATTCCACCACCGGATATGTGTGATGTGAGATGTGCAAATCCCCTGCTGTATCGTTCAGTTCTTCCGATTTAGTCTATATCAAGTATTTCAGCCCAGTAAGCAGTCAACTAACGCCACAACACCCTCGCTATGCCCTTAAACAACCGCACCTCGGTCTCCCTCAAGACCTCCCACTATCCTTCGAAGTCCTCACGCTGCTCTCTCCTGTGCCCCTCAACGCCGCATCGCCCTCCTCAAGACACTCCACTACGTCTTTCCCACCGACGCCCTTCTCTTTCCAAACCTCGAGCAACCGCCTCGGCATTTCCCACAGGCTCCTCGCCTCCTCAACCCTGCCATCCTTCACCAGCCTCCGCAACTTCTCAGGCGTCCCCAGCACCTCCTTCGCAAGCTCCCTCGTCCTCCGCCGCCTCGCCGCGGCCTCCTCATCCAAGCGCTCCTGCGACCCGGGCGGCGCCACCGTCTTGCGCAGCGCCTCGCGGATCGAGCTCGCCTGGGCATATATACCCGCGATGGCCGGGTCAAGTGTCGACGCCATGGGGTTCAGGGGGTCCATGTTCGCGCGCATCTAGAAGCTCAGCGTCAGCAAGACCACACCCTCAATAGTTCACGGTACTCCTAATAAGGACAGGGGAGGGCAGAGAGAGCATGCTCACCTTTCGAATCGTCTCCGTGGCAGATATCAGCTTCGAGTAGTTGTCGTACACCAGCGCCTTCTTCTCCGCATCCAGCGCGCGGATCTCGCCCAGCACGCGCGTGTACACCCTCAGCAGGTCGTCCAGCGTGTTCTCCGCCAGCGCTTTGCGCACGTACGCCTCGGCGTCGAAGCTCGCGTTGTCGAGCTCGCTGGGCGGGACCTCGCTGTGTTCTGCGATGCCGCCGCCGCGCTCCGAGGAGACGTCGTCTGCGTCGGTGACTTCGAGGGACGGGGTGGTCGTCCCCTTTTTCAAGTTGTAGTACTCGCGGAGGGCGGCGCGGTTGGCGCGTTTGGAGGGCGCTGCCGCGGTGCCGGGGGCACCGAAGGTTGCTGAGGAGGACGGGTTCGGGGAGGATGTTGCGGAGCGCGGGGCGTCGAGGGAGGGGCGGGTTGAGGATGTTGGGGTGTGTGGCTGCGCGGACACGCGGCGGGTGAGGGCGGGCGGTTCGCGGGGGGAGGCAATTGAGGCCATTTTCGGGTGCCGTTTTGATTTCTAGTTTCGGTTGTTGAGGGGTAGATTGCACATAAAGGAGGGACGGGGCCGATTGAGGCTGTGGTGGTGTGACGCGCAGGGACGCTGCTGTGAAGCTCGTGATGGTTGACGGTTGCGGCGCGAGGCTGCGCTGGAGGATGACGGGGATGCTGGCGATAGGTCGACAGAGCTCGTGTGGGGTAGCGGCCCCTTGGACTTCAGCTGTTCAGCGAGGCTGCGCTAGCATGCACATGCAGTGGCTCTAATTTTGGAGATCTATAGTGGGGCCGGGTCCGGGAAGTTGGGGGTAGGTAGGTACCTTAAGTGCCTGCCAGCTTTTTACCCCACTGAAGCTATTCTCAAGTTGTGTTCTGCCCACCAAGAACCTCTCTTCCTAGGCACACTGCAAACCCAACAACATCAAAATGTAAAATTTCCTACCAAAACAACGGGCAGGAAAATGGACGCAACCACACAAATCCGCAACGCCCTCCACTCCCAATCCTTCCCGACGCCCTCCGTCCCCTGGACCACGACCCTGACCTCGCGCGTCCCAACCCCGCCGCTGCCCTCCCTCATCGCGACCGCCAAAGCGCGCCTCCTCGCCTCGGACCTCACGACGCCCAACCTGCTCGACCCCTCCTCGTCAGCGACCTTCCCGCCCGCGGCGACGGACCCGCAGACGCCGGAGACGACGCTGCCCCGCGACGTCCCCTGCCAGGTCCTCGACGTCGAGAACCTGGCCCTCTCGCGCTGGGAGCAGGTCGAGGAGCTCGAGGCCGTGGCGCGCGGCGAGATGACCACCGGCCGGCGCGTGGTGCGGCTGGCTGCGGCCGAGGAGCAAGCCGAGTACGATAACGTCGACGAGGGTGCTCCGGGGCGGACGCAGGCGGCGGCGGCGCCGCAGCAGCAGAGGAAGAATGCGACGCACAGACTTGTGCTGCAGGATTGCAAGGGGCAGAAAGTGTATGCGATGGAGCTGAGACGGGTGGAGAGGATCGGGGTCGGGGTTACGAATATCGGGGAGAAGGTCATGCTCAAGGCTGGGACGGTGGTGGCGAGGGGCACGGTGCTGCTTGAGCCGGAGAAGTGTGTGATGTTGGGAGGAAAGGTTGACGCGTGGCAGAAGGCGTGGATGGAAGGGCGGATTGCGAGGTTGAAGGAGGCTGTCGGGGCTGATCGGCCGTAGAGGGAAGGAATGTGATGCATTAGTTGGAGTTCGGGTATACCCATTTGACTAGAGAAACGATATGCATTTGCTTTGAACTTTTTTTCGTTTTATTCGTCCGTCTGGATCTATTTGATGGACACGTCCTTCACTATCACGAGCAACTTCATCTAGCCCTATTTGCCCATGACTTAACATCTGGCCTTTAGACAGATTCGGCCACGCTCGCCACATCTAGTTCCCGGAAACTGCCTCACGCAAAGAGTTCCAGCCGGCCACCGTCCACGGCGCCAAGAAAATGGCCGTCTGGGCATGCGCAGCAACACCCGTGCCGGCGTATGCCTTGGCCAGGTCCTCCGCCTCGAGCGTTCCCCGAGGCGGAACGCCCTTCTTGGCCACCGTCAACGCCATCTCGGCCGGGTACTCCTCGCCGCCAAATTCCGCCAGGTTCGACCACCCGTGCGGCAGATGTGGGTACAGCATGATGTCCGTCTGAATCTGGGTCAATACATCCTCGTCGGTGCTGTTCTCGCCGAGCTTCGCCACGGCGCCGAGCACCTCACCGATCTGGGACTGCTCCGCGTCTGCAATCTTATCGCTCGTGCGGAGGCCCTCGAGCTCGGCGACGACGGCCTCGACGGACTCTTCGTCGTTGTCGAGAACCGCAATGACGCCGAGGAGAAGAACGGCTTGGACGTGATCGGGCTGTTTCTCAATCACTTCGAAAAGGGAGTTGCGAGCCTTCTCGCGGGACTCTTCTGAGCCGTTAGCCCAGAGCACCTGAGCAAGGAGGCAGACGGCATCGGCATTGCCATCGGATTCCTCCAGAGCCGACTCGAAGCAGAGAAGCGCCTCGTCGATGTCTTTGCTGTAGTATTGCGCCAGGCCGACGGTCAGGTGAGCCGAGAGACGTGCCTTCTTGCGCTCCTCCTTTGTCAGCTCGTTGTCAGACTCGTCGCTGCTTAGCTGGAGCGCCATTTCACCGCACTCAACGGCTTGCTCGTACGAGCCGGAAGCCAAGTACGATCTGGCCAGGTCCGTCTTGGCGAGAGCGAATTGTGCGAGAGCTTGAGGTGACTCCGTAACCTCGAAGTCCGCCTCCAAGATGCCGCAGATCTTCTCAAGAATCTCGACGGCCTTGACGTTGTCGTGAGTGCGCTCCAAGAACATAGTCGACAGGTGTCCATAAGCCAAGTCCTGGGGCTTCAAGTTGTTGAGTTGGCCAAGCGCGAAGATGGGCTGGATGAGCGACGAGATGTTGGCGGACGTCGTGGTCAGGATGTAGTCAAACACGGAGACGGAGAACTGCCGCCTCGTAAGGACAGATGACGACTCCGCGATTTCCATGGCATGTGTAAACAGACCCCTCGCCTCTTTTGTCTTCCCATAGAGCAGCGCAACGAAGCCCTGGCCAAGCCAAGCATGCGCGTAATCGGGATCTGTCGACTGCGCGCGGTTGAAGGCCTCGTTGGCAAGTTGCATGTCGTTCTGCAGCAGGGCCAATGTGCCCAGGTTCGTCCACGCCGCAGGACTTCGCTCGTTGAGGTGCAGACTTCTGACGAAGGAATGCTGAGACACCGCCGGGCTGATTTCGCTCGTCACGACACCCAGCGAGTTCCAAAAGTCGGAATTTCCTGCCTCGAGCTCGATGGCCCGCTTGAAGCACTTCATAGCGGTCTTGAGATACACGCTAGACTTCTTCCGAATGCTTGATGGGAGACAGATGTGAGCTCGGTGCTCCGCCCAGCCTAGGTTGTAGTATGCGACGGCTTGCGCGTGCAAATCGTTGGCCGAGACATGGATTGCTCGCTTGTGGCAGAGGATCGTAGCGTGAATGCATCTCGTCAGGTCGACGCCTAGTCTCTCGTCTTCAGAGAATAGACCCTTGGCAGAAATGACACCAGTGCCAACATTGTCTACATCGGCAAATATTTCATAGGCCTTCTTGTCGCCACTGTCGATGAGAGCCATGATCGACTCGGCAGGGAACTCAATAGCCTTGCTTTGCACCGCAGAAAAGACGGAGCATGCGTCGGCAAGCGACTTCCAAAAGTTGAATGTCTCGACGACGGTCGCATCTGCCTTAGATGCAAAAGCAATGGTGTCCTTGGCAAGTTGAATTGACTTGCCAAAGAGACCCTTCTCAACACAGTCAAGCGCGTTATCAACCATGGTCTGCATAAGTGCGATGGCGACGCCATCTTCATTCGGCCGGCCATCGTTGACCTCCTGGTAGAGTGCAATGGCTTCGTCAAACTCGGCCAGTTCACGCTTGACGTTAGCAAGCATGTACTTGGTGAACCAAGTGTCGCCAAGAACTTCCTTGGAAGCAGTTTCTTCCAGCTTCTGCGCATTAAGAATAGCCTTAGTCGCGGCAATGTAGCGACCTGACGAGTAGTAACTTTCTCCTAAGCCCACCCATGAGTGGTAGTCCTCCGGCGATATCCTCAGGGCTGACTGGAAGGACACGATTGATTTGTGGAAATCCTGCTTGTTCAGCTCCGCAACACCAAGTGCTGCAAACGGCCAGCTGATGCCCTTCCTCTTCGAACCTGGCGGTGGCTTCACCTTGCCAGAATCGACCACCCGCTGAGCGACCAACTCGACTCTGTCCCAATCACCTTCGTCAGCAAATGATTGGGCCAGGCGCTTAGCTGCCTCGACTTCTGAAGATGAGAGCTCGACAGCCTTTTGGAAGCACCGTCTAGCCCTCTTCTTGTCTTTGGCGTAGTCGGCATAGTAGATGCCGAGGCTTGTGTACGATGGTGCGAAGTTGAGGTTGTTTTTGAGAGAATCCAGGAAGTATGCGTAAGCACCTGTGCGACTCTTGCGAGCAGCCTTTGAAGAATCTAGGTTCCACAGACAGGACCCCAGGCGGTACTGTGTCTGTGCAAGAAGATCCTTCGACGGAGGCGTCATCTCCTCGATCAATGGGACGGAGGCCTCCAGTTCCAGCTTGGCCTTCTCGTAGTCACCCTTGAGCGCCTGTACCCAGGCAGATTCAGTCTTGACACGGAGGTTGCTAGGATCTCTCTTCAGCGCGCGCCCAAAGAAATTGATGGCATCATCAAAGTCCTCCTCTTCCTCGTAAATGAGACCGACACCGATCAGCGCCGGGGTAGATGATGGATCGTGTGTGAGAACCTCTTCGAACAGTCTCTTTGCTTCGCCGTGGTTTCTGGGAGACTGATAGAATACCAGAGCTGTGCCCAAGTACAGCGAGAAAGAATCGCTCGTGTTCTGGAATGTCATACCGGTCTTTGTCCTCTCCGACTTCAGGAGATCCATGGACTTTCTCATCTGTTCCACGGTGCTCTCGTATTCCTCTAGATGCTGGTAGTACTCTCCCATCAAACGATGAGCGAACAACGAGTCTGACGTCGTGATACCGTCCGTCATCATCAGGATTCTATCCTGTTCTGTCAGCGGCACCATGGACACACCGCCACCCTCGTCGTCTTCACTCTCGGTCTCCTCTGCCTCGAGTGCGGCGGGCGTCGGTTTGGGGAACGGAGAGATGCTGCTGGTCAAAAAGCCAGTGATGACCTTGTACAGGTCGGTCTCAGGGAAGAATGTGCAATAGTCCCTCAGCATATTGACGTCCCACTCCTTGATCTCCTTGGCGTCCTTCCAGTTGATGGCAATCTCCCATGCGAGTCTGTAAGGGTGCTTGATAATGACCATGTCCAGGGCCAGCTTCAGAACGGCTTGAAGAGCGAAGCCCTTTTCGGGGCCAAGCGGCGCAACCAGCAGGCGGTCGTAACACCACTGGAGGAGCTTCTCCTCATACCTCCGCCGGAGCTCGTCATCGTTTGTCCAGTTGATGAGCTGTTGGTAAATGTACTCGAGCTTGCTCTGAGCAATGACCTCGCGCTTCACCTCGAGCGTGACCTCGTTCAAGCGCGCTCCTATCCTCGTCCGGCGCTCGCCGATGAGCGTGTTGATGCGCTTCTTCTCGTCGGTCTCAATGATCTGCGCCATGGTCTCGTAGGTCTTGGCGGGGTGCGGCACTCGGCCCTCAAGTGCAGGGTAGATGGGGCTTCCTGGGAGGATGACGCTCAAGGCGTCGATGTACTGGGCAGTGTCACCCTGTGATCTGGCAAAGTCGACAAACTTATCGATGACATCCTGGCACTTGTACATGTCCTCGGCATCACGGTAGATTTCTGCCAAGCTCACCGCAGCCTGGTGGTAGGCCTCTATGCGCTTGCGGTCCTGTTTCTCGTAGAGCTTAATGAGGCCCTGCCACGCCGCGGGCTCTTTGGGCTTCTGCGCAGCGGCAGTCTTGTACGCCTTCTCAGCCTCGTCGACGCGGTTTTTCTTGTCAAGAGCAAAAGCCAGCAAGATATTTCTGCGAAATTGCGTCAGCAGGCTTGCAAGGAAAATTGTCATTTGAGGAGAGAAGGTGCGTACGCCTGGTAGTGCTTGGGCTCGCGCTCGAGGAACTCAGTCGCCTTCTGAATGGCGTCGTCCCATTTTTGCTGTTTGACAGAGTCGCCAATGGCCTTCACGGCAGCCTTGGAGCTCGACATGGTGGCTGGCGACTGAGGGTGTGAATCATGAAAGTGAGGTCTTCTTCCGATGGCGGGGCATCACCAGTGACCAGGGTGGTGAGAGCTCGTAGGAGGTACTGTTTGTGAGACGACAAGTCCAGGTGCAATGTGTGGTGAGCGCTACAAAGTGCAAGCCCCACCACAGCAGCCACGGCGCCTCCCTTATTACATCATGCCCCGCTTTGAGCATTTGTGACGACCCGATAAGATAGGACGCCCGCTAAGCTCCACATCGCGACCCGTCTAAGGTACCTTACTTCGCCATAGACCTTAGTTTATCGCTGCTGCTGTCGTCAACAACACTTCGAAGATGGGAAAACACTGATTTAATCGACGGAAGCTAAAAGATCAACTCAATTCATTTTTTCGCTCGCGTACAAGGGTATCTATAAGTGCACAAATCATCGCATCCGCCACAATCACCTTTCCCAATCCCGTGCACCTATTCCCCCTCTGGGACCGAATCGACGCCAGAGTTGTTCGAGTCCGTCTTGCTCAGAAACCTCATCAGTCCCCGTCTCTGCCCCAGCGGACCATGAATAGGCTCGCTCGACGTGGACGACCTCGTGAAGACGGTCGAAGAAGATGCATCGCTGGACTTGCGCGTCGGCATTTGTGCATGCTGCTGCAGAAGTCGCTTGATCTCCGACCCTGCCAACCCAGAATTGTTCGCGGCCTGGAAGGCGTTCCTTCCGTTCGCGTCCGTCAGATACGGGTTCGCACCGTGGGTAAGTAGCATTTCTATCACGGTGATCTTTCGGGCGCTTCTAGTCGCCACTACTTGGATTGCTGCAATCAACGGGGTGCAGATGTTGGGGCTCTCCGTGCCGGATGAAGCAGACCCCCTCCTTGCCTGGTGGCAGATGTTTGGATCTGCCCCTCGAGTCAGGAGGACCTTCACCATTCCCTTATTGCCCATCTCGCACGCCATGTACAGAGCCGTTTTCCCCGAGTTGTCGATGAGGTTCAGCAGGCCGGGCGTGTTGTCGAGGAGGAGCTGGGCAACGTTGACGCCGCCGGACTCGCTCTGGCACTTGTGGAGAGGGCTCTGTCCCGCGCTATCTCTGACGTCGGCTCGAGCATTGTGCTTAAGAAGTAAGCCGACGCTTTCGCGGTTTCTTGTCGAGGCGGCAAGCAGCAGCGGCGTTGGGAGACCAACGTTGCCCCCGTTCTCTAGACTGGTGACGTGTCCCATCATCAGCTTCAAGATCTCGACATTCTCGTCTTGGATCGCCTTGTGCAGAGGCGATGTGCTGGTCAAAAAATCGCAAGCGTCAAAGTGGAAACCAGTTGGTGCGTCAATATCGAATCCGTTCTTGCTACACCAAGCGTACACCAGCGACAGCTCTCCCATGGCCGACGGGCGTCGAGGACCCGGTGTTGTGTCTGAAGCGGGGGGCGAGGCTGGTCGACTGGTAAGCGGGATGACATCCGTGTCGACCCAGTTTTTCACCCCGCGAGCTTCATCATAAGCCTCGGCGAGTTGCAAGGCCTTGATGTATAGGTTGGCAGTATCCAATACCAAGTCGACCGGCATGGGGGCCTGATTCTTTCTCCCCTCAAGAGCGCGGCTTAGGAACGTCTTTGCCTGCCTCAAGTTCCCCAGCTTGATGTAGAGGCTCCCGAGGTCATGGTAGAGCCTGCTCCTACGCTCGTCATCCCGTTCGTTCTCGGGTTGCTTGACTTCCTCCTGCAGCAGCTTTTGGAGAATCACCTTTGCCTCGGCCGTCTCGTCCTCAGTCTCGCAGTACAGCAGTATCTCGGCGAGGCGCTCCTTCATAGCCGCTTGTTCCGAGAACTTGAACGCGTCGTCGTATCCCGGTTTGCTGAGCTGCTCGCGGAGCTCGATGCCCCTTTTCTGGTACAGCGACGCCCGAAGAAAGATGCCGCATTTCACCAGCTGATTCACGATATCCTGGTTGGCCTCGTACTGATGTTTTAGGATTTCCTTGCTTGGACCGTCCTTGCGCTCGGGTTCCGGGTCCCAGTCATCGGACTCGACGTCGCTGAGAGACTCCCTCGAGCCAAGGTCCTTTGCAGTCGGCAGTTTGGTGAAGGAACCGCTGAAGGAATGCAGAGATGGGTCCCGGCCGATGTCGTGGCCAACATCGTGGAGCGTCACTGCCGCTGCGACCTCGTCTGCTGACATGCGCCAGGCTTGGATCTCCTTCGTCACCGACAGAGAATCCTCTACCCGGGTTCCATCGTCATCGTCCCATTCCATCGATGGTCGCCGATGGACGCTGGTCAACTTCGAAACGAGGTTGGCAGAACGAATGGCATCGGTCAGCTTTCTGATCTCGATGTGGACTTGGTCCTGCGACTTTTGCTGGTTCCAGACGGAGCCGCTGGTGACTGTTAGCACTTACATGCTCGGAGAAATCGCGGGGACTTCTGATTTACTTACAGAGACAGAGTTATCAGACTCAGTTGAAGAACCTGGGTATACGACGTGATGTGCGACACGAGATCTCGAATGACACTCTGCTTCAGCGTCGCGGTGAAACTGGCGCGCGCCCTCGCGATGGGGCCGGAGTTCTGGGCCAGCTCTGGCAGCGCCGACCTCAACCTCTCAAGCGCTCCGCTGCACGACTTCAAGATCCGGTAAATATCTTGGTGGTGTTCCCTTTCGAAAGGAAGCTGTGTCGGGTGTTGGTCCAGGATCCGGGCGACGTTCCGTAGTGCTGCATACAGATTTCGGATCGTCTCGTGGAAGTCGCGAATGCTGGAGTCAATCATTTTCGTCTCCTCCACAAACTTTGCGGTCCCCTCGACGATCTTGCCGGCCACGCCGACAAGCGTCATGGTGAAGGCCGAAATGCTGATGGGGTCCATCGTGTCTGTCTGCCTTCAACCCTTGTGTTGAATATCGAGCTGTTGGTTGACGGATCAGTCGTTCGGGACGCAGCCGCGCCCCAGTGTCTCGCGGGAATCAGTTGACGCTGGCCTCGAGCGTTTGTTTAGGCACATGTTATGCAGCTTGTGAGAAAGTCCAAGTCTGACGTGGGGAACACGAGACGGGCCAAACGATGATGTGTCAGGACTTGCAGTCGATAACAGCGATGAAGGAGTTTTATTCCAGACCCTCCCCATCGATGCCGGACCCCCTGTCCTCCCCCGCGATCGACAGGTTATGACCCGTGTTTAGTCACCCTCCGAGACACACACACGGTGCACTCTTCCTTGAGGATATGGGGGGCATGGCCACATCAGCGGCCATCACGAGCGCACAGCAGGCAACCGCTGCGGTGTGTGTAACAGTTGGTCGCCTTGGGATTTCCTCACCGAGTACAATGAAAACACCCACGCGAGCCCTGGCACTGGCCAGCTAACTGTCGGTGGCTCAGTTTCGAGTCCGAGATGCAATACTTCGAATCCGTTTGTCTGAGCTTCCTTTCTCGGGCACCATCCCATCTCCAGTCGGTGGGCATCCCCGCGGGGTATTTCATTGGAGACCGGGGTTAGCGCCGCCGTCTTTGCAGGGGGGTTGAAGTCCAGTCCAACCTCCAGTTCATCCCGTCAACCCGTCCCCGACTCTGCCAAGTGGAAAGTTGGAGTCGGGGCCGCACCCGCGTGGCGCAGCGGAGACACGGGACGATTTGAGCACTCGGTTGGGTCTTGAATGTTTGCTCATCATGACAACAGCAGGCGTGTGTGATCTGCAGCCCTGCAAGACAACGACACATGCGAGCTGGACATGGCCATTGGCTCGCGGGGGTAAGCCACCCGCAAGTGCTGCCTGTTCGTGGTGCATTAGCCGTCTGGCTGACCTTTTTCTTCTTGCATCCATCGGTGTAGGAAATAACCACGGGAAGCCTTCCACCTCGAGAAAATAGAGGCGTTTGTTTGTGCCCGAAACGAGGCTCCGATATGAGCCATCTCGCTTGACATGGGAGAGACCTCCCGCACCACGTCCGGTCAGGAACCCAAAGCCTTGTCTCCCCCAAATCCATTCTCGGTGTGGAGAGAAGTGGACGTGCCATTTCCCAGCGCAATGGAAAGCATTGTCACGGCATGGGCAGCTGAAGTCAGACATGCAGCTCTCGCACCCGAAAGAGGGTTCTTGGAGGGTGTGACAAGGGAGATTGGAAAGGATCGGCTTCGCCACCTATGGCGGCCCAGCCAGCCCTACATAGGAATTGCCAGGACTTTTTTTAAGGCAACCAGGACTCCAACCTCTCCCCCCGCTTCTTCCTCCCTTACGGTGCTCACTACTCCGCATGAGGAGTATGCGAGTTCACCGGTACTTGTCTCGTCGTTGGCCGAGCCCGGAAGGATTCACTTGGGTGACGGCCTCATGCATGGTGCGCGCGACACATTGGAAGCGCGGTTCTTTCTGCTGCTGCACAGCCTGCCCACACACGGGGGAAGAGGAGAACGTTGGCCAAGCCAGGGTCTCATTTTCCCTTTCCTAGACGCGGAAGTGTACTTTGCGTTCCCATTGGACTTTTCCCTCGCTCCCGCGGGGCGGCGGGATTTGCTGGGGGTCTTGGATTCTAGGACCATGGTTCGTGCCATTTCGCGAAGCCTTGTGTGGCACGATGGGCGGGAGGGCCTTAAAATGATTGAACGTCCCGGTTCGCCCTTCAATTATGATCCGGGATTGGTGTTTGGCCTTCTGGGACACTTCAGCCCTACGTTTGAGGTCTTCTTTCCCACATGGTTCCTCTCTGAAGGTGATTCGCCTCACGCGAGCAGGGAAGTAGCCTGATCATCAAGATGGAATTGACATCGATGGACACGCTGGGGCACGCCGAGTTGTACTCGGGCCGCGAACGGCCGACGGCCCAGGCCCAGGCGAGGCGACGACAGATTAACGATCGTGCAGTGATTGAGAACCCACTTGGTCAGTTTGGATGCTGTCTCTTGGCCGTAATTGCGTGCTGACTGTGAGGGAAAAGCCCACTACACGGATGAACAGCTTGAAGCAGACGTAAAGTCGTTCGCTGAACGGCTGACGGTCGACACGACTGCCTTGCTTCGGGCTGCTCGCGTGGCCAAGGATATTAAGTTGTACGATGAAGTCGCGCGAAACACCTTTCCGGGCGCAGGCAAAGATCTGCCGGTCCAGTTGACGGCGGAGGAGAAACGTGCGCTGAGGCGAGAGCGTGATGTCCCGTTCAGCGAGAGGGGCATGTGGACTATCATCATTACCGTCTCTCTTGCGGCATTTCTCCAAGGTAAAATGATATTTTGGCAACCCCGCGATCATGAACCGGAGTGTAAGCTTATTGTATTGCAGGCCATGTTCAAGCATCTCTAAACGGCGCATCTCTGTACGCAGACAAGTTCGGTCTGAATATGACACAGCCGCTGGAGTCAAACGACGAAATTGTGAGCGGGAACAACCTCGAAGTCCGGCCAGACGATTGGAAGCTAGGGGCCGCCAACTCGTCACCATTCCTATTCGCTGCAGTACTCGGTTGCCCGCTGGCACTGCCCGTAAATCACTATCTCGGTCGCAAAGGTGGAATGATTGTCGCCGCTATTTTGATCTTTGCGAGCTCACTGGGTTCTGCATTTGCTCATACCTGGCAGGAGCTGTTTGCTATCCGTCTCGTCAACGGCATTGGTGAGTTCCCCGTTTGCTTCCGAGACACCTGCACTGGGGCTAATGGTTGTTCAAGGCATGGGACTGAAGGCAGTCAGTACCCCAATCCTCGCCAGTGAAACTGCCGTCGGTTTCTGGCGAGGTACGTCCATCCTCGCCTGGCAGCTGTGGGTGGCAGCAGGCAGCATGATCGGGCTCGCATTCAACCTGATATTCGATATATCCGATAACAAGAGGCTCACCTTTCAACTCATGGTCGCCGCCCCTCTCGTACCTGCACTCGCACTACTTCTCCTCGTCATTTTCTTCTGTGACGAGAGCCCGAGATACCTGATGCGCGTGTCGAGTCCCCGCTACAACCCGCAACGGGCATACCAGATTCTCAGGAAGTTGAGAAATACGGAGTTGCAAGCCCTCCGAGACATTTACCTCGTCCACAAGTCAATCGAACAAGAGGAAATGTCGAGCAAGACCGCCGAGCCGGGCATGATTCCTGGTTTTATCAAGACCATGGCTGGCTTCTTGCGCCAGTACAGGCAGCTTTTCCTCGAGAGACGCCTGCGGAACGCGCTGATCAGCAGCTCGACGGTCTCGCTAGCCCAGCAGCTGTGCGGTATCAACGTATTGGCCTTCTACAGCGGCACGTTGTTCAGCCGCGCCGGTCAGGACGACCGGGCTGCCATGTACTTCAGTCTCGGGTACGGGGCCGTGAACTTCGTCTTTGGGCTCCCCGCCATCCGGACGATCGACACTCTCGGACGCAGGAAATGGCTCTTGCTCACGCTGCCAATTATGGCGCTCTTCATGCTCCTCGCGGGCGTGGCGTTCAACATCAAGGATGACACTGCTCAGATCGGCGTCGTGGCTCTCTTCCTCCTCCTCTTCGCGGCGGCTTACTCGCCTGGCCTCGGCCCGATCCCGTTCACCTACGCGTCGGAAAGTTTCCCCCTCTCGCACCGCGAAGCCGGCGCTGCGTTCGCCATCGCGGTCAACCTCGGCTTTGCGGGCCTCTTGTCCATCTTCTTTCCGAGCATCAACTCAGGGCTGGACGATGACGGCGCGCTTTACCTGTTTGCGGGGCTCAATATCGTTGCGTTGGTTCTGGTGTTTCTGCTGTTAGAGGAGACCAAGCGACGAAGCCTTGAGGACTTGGACTTGGTGTTTGCGGTATCGAAGCACAAATTCATGCGCCACCAGGTCGCCGAATACCTGCCGTGGTTCATCAAGCATTACTTCCTCAGGAGGCATGACATCAAGCCGAGCTTGTACACCGATCTGATATGGGGCTCTCCTGAGCCGAGTCCTGGGGGAGGGACGTTCGGGGTTGGGCAGAGGTATAGCAGTGATAGCGACAGAAGCAGTATTCATGCTTGAGATGGGAGGCAGATAACTTGACTGAATGTAAACAATTGTTCACTTTAACCGTCTGATGTCCGGAATGGCCGGTGATTATGCGGCGATTTGAGTTTATCCTCCGGACCCAGAGTTCGTCCGCACCGTCAGCAACGCCAACGCCACCGCCAACGTGCAATTGCGATTAAGCTTACGACGATGCTGTTTCACTGAGCAACGCCCCCGAGGATTAAGCGGCGCATAGAGGAAATCGACTCATCGGGTAATCCTCCGGTAAACTTGTGGTTTACTCCACACCAGGTTTCGGTGGCGTGGTGTCTCGTCACCGACTCACCGCTCCATGTCCCTTGCGAAGTCCAAGCTCGACGGCGACGTGCTCCTAGCCCCGGGGCGAACGGCCGCTGTCTCCGCGATTTTGGCGGCGTCGACCCGGAGTTCAAGCGGGATTCGACGCTACGGGCCCCGCCATACCCGCTGAAAGCCTTGGGTGCCGACGCTAATTGGCTCCCGGGTCGGTTCTGGAACACGAAAACGAGCGAGTGTGGCCGGTGCAAGTCACGCTGGCGCTCTTCAGACAGTTGATGAGGTGTTGGAGCAGGTGTCGTGGCTGGTCGTGGTTGCTTTATTAATTATGTTCAGTATTCGTGTTTATAAAAACTGTATTACTCTCTCAAATCCCAAGTTTTCATGACTGAACTCTCCCACATATTGTTACTCATCGACTAAAGGTTACTTTCATGTTCAAGAGCACTGGGTGCCAACGTCGTCAGAAGACCCTTCCCGTCCAAATTAGCGCTTGGCGGTCGCTAAAGCGTCGCACTGGCGTGATAAGGCACCCTGTCGCGGTCCACTAATCACGGCCCCCCATCAGGACGTCATCGAATCGTCCCAATTTCAATCTCGGACCTTTAGCATCCCGTCCGCCGCGGCTCTGGACTCGACCTCGCACCTGTCGTCTCTCGTGCTCTCCTATCTGGACCTCTCTTTCTGCCAAGCAGCAGACCGCACAACCTCTCGACACCGCATCACCCGGGCGCTGTCAAGGGCCGATTATCACACTGCCCGACGAAACCATTGCGAAGAAAGCCCGTCGTCATGTCTTCGTTGCGATTGACCATCGAGGACGGTCAGTTCCGCGACGGCTACGGCAGACAGGTCGTCCTCCGAGGTCTCAACGTCGCCGCCGATGCCAAGCTGCCAAGCGAGCCAGACCAGCCCTCCCACGTCGGCGATGACTTCTTCGACGGCGACAACGTCAAGTTCCACAACAGGCCCTTCCCCAAGGAGGAGGCGCACGAGCACTTCTCCAGGATAAAGCGATACGGCTACAACACCATCCGTTATGTCTTCACGTGGGAGGCCATCGAGGCCGCTGGCCCTGGACGTTACGACGAGGAATGGATCCAGCACACGATTGAGATTTTGAGGATAGCCAAAGAGTATGGTTTCTATGTCTTTATGGATCCCCACCAGGACGTGGTATGTCTCCTCCGCCATTCGGCTGCCCGCTCCCACCGCATACTGACGTCTTGAAGTGGTCCAGGTTCTGTGGAGGCTCCGGCGCGCCCATGTGGACGATCTACGCCTGTGGCCTCAACCCCCAAAGTTTCGCCGCGACCGAGGCTGCCATCGTACACAACACCTACCCGAAGCCAGACGAGTTCCCCAAGATGATCTGGTCGACGAACTACTGGCGCCTAGCCGCCGCCACTATTTTCACCATGTACTTTGGTGGTAGAGATTTTGCGCCCAAGTGCATTATCAACGGTATCAATATTCAAGACTTTTTGCAGGGCCACTTCGTCGCTGCCTGTGCGCACCTCGCCAAGCGTATACACGAGGCCGGTGATCTCGAGAACGAGGTGGTCGTGGGTTGGGAGAGCATGAACGAGCCTGGGTGCGGCCTGGTGGGCTATGCCGACGTCAGCGTCATTCCCAGCGCACAAAAACTCAAGAAGGGCTCGTGTCCGACCATCTGGCAGACTATTCTGACGGGTTCTGGTCGTGCCTGCGAGGTGGAAACTTGGGACATGGGTGGCATGGGCCCGTACAAGGTCGGCCGCTCGTTGATCGACCCCCACGGCGAGATTGCGTGGTTGCCCGCGGACTACGACGACTCGAGGTACGGATGGAAGCGTGACGAGGGATGGAAGTTGGGAGAGTGCGTCTGGGCTCAGCATGGTATCTGGGACCCCAAGACGGACACGCTACTCAAGAAGGATTACTTTGCGAAAAACCCGAATACAGGAAAGACGATCGACCACCCGGAGTTTACTAACACCTATTTCATGCACTCTTATCGCCTCTACAGAGACGCCATCCGCCCTATTCACAAGAACTGCATCATGCTAATGCAGTATCCTACACTGGAGTTACCGCCGCAGATCAAGGGCACCGAGGACGACGACCCTTTGATGGGCTTCTCGCCACACTGGTACGATGGTATTACCCTGATGACAAAGCGATGGAACAGAGTTTGGAACGTTGACGTCGTGGGCGTGCTACGCGGGAGGTATTGGCACGAGGCGTTGTCGGTCAAAGTTGGAGAGACTGCTATTCGCAACTGCTTCAAGGACCAGCTAGCATCGCTGCGCCAGGAGGGAATTGACCGCATGGGCAAGCATCCTTGTGTTATGACTGAGTTCGGCATTCCTTATGATATGGGTGACAAAAAGGCATACAAGACGGGAGATTATACGGATCAATCACTAGCTTTGGACGCCAACTACTTTGGAGCCGAAGGCTCGGGCATGGAAGGCCACTGTTTGTGGGTCTACGTTGCAAAGGTACGCAGTTCACCTTTTTGGCCCTGACGGCTCAACTAACTCTCATCCCAGAACACACATCAACACGGCGATTTATGGAACGGCGAAGACCTGTCAGTATTCTCATTAGACGACAAGACGCTGCCCATGTCCCCCCTCCCCCGAAGTCCGGAATCCAGACAGTCGGCAGAAAACCCCCGTACCTCCATCAGCAGAGACGTGCCAGATGAGACGAAGGTCACTCCCGATAACCTCCAGAGGACAATCACAAACCCGTCCATCTCGACAGAGCCAACCAAAGACCCTACCATCACCAACGCGCCAGGCCTCCGCGCCGCCGAAGCCTTCGTCCGCCCCAGCCCCGTCGTGGTCTCAGGCGATGTGCTGCAGTACGGCTTCGACCTGCGCAGCTGCACCTTCAACCTCAAACTCAAGGCCGCCGCGCCACCCTCAGACCCCGCCCCGACGGTCGTCTTCCTCCCCGAGTTCCACTTCCCGCAAGACAACTGCCAAGTCGAGGTGTCGTCCGGCAAGTGGGCCATCAGCATGGACGACGACGAGGGCCCGCTCGTGCAGAAGCTGAAGTGGTGGCACGGCGACGGCGAGCAGACGCTCAAGGTCAGCGGTCTGGTGAGACAGCACAACGTCGCGGAGGGTTCCGAGGAGGATATGGGGTACCTCGAGCAGTGCCAGAAGAACTACGCCAACTGCAGCGTGATGTAGACGAGAGTCAGGACTGGGGGTTAGCAGGCATGTTTTAATGGGAAAGAGGGGGACTGCGGCTTTTTGTTTTTCTGTTGCATTATGACTTATCAGACGGCTCACCCACAACATCGACGTGTGCCGAGCTGGATCCTCGAGGGGCTAACTACTCAACAATGCCTACATCTAATCCAACTTCCGTGACCACTGAAAACAATCTGTGTGTGTATGTGTCATCCATTACTAACATATCCTTCTCTGATCTCTCCTTTTGTTTTTGTACCTGGCCAAACCCATGTACCCAACCGTATCATCCTTTGACAACTCCCTGACTATGAGGCGACAGGGAGATAGACGTGGTCTGAATGAACCGTAAGTAATCAAAACACGACCACATTAAATCCAATATCCCTACCGACCAAAGCAATGCACGCGTGTTGCCTCTCTAGTTTGCCTCGGCGTTCAACGTCTTCTCGCCCAGGGAGGCGGAAATTCATCCTCGGAACTCGTCTCATCGTCAGATGGTGGTAACTTGGGCGAGTTTTCCTGGCCCGCAGGCTGTGCAGATGAGGAAACGGTACTCATCTGGCTTGGAGAAGCGAATCTCTGCCTAAGGGGCAGGGACGAACTGGTGGGGGACGATCCACGTGGGAGGTGTATCTCTGAATACAGAGGGGACTGAGGAGCGCGTGAGGAGGTCGGGCGGTTCGTCAACGGAGCCAGGGCGGGCCGAAGGGAGTCCGAAGGGGTTGGGCGGTTCGTGATTGAAGCCAGGGCGGGCCGAGGGGAGCCCGAAGGTGTCGGGCGGTTCGTCACCGGAGCCAGAGCGGGTCGAGGGGAGCCTGAAGGGGTCGGGCGGTTCGTCACCGGAGCCAGGGCGGGTCGAGGAGAGCCTGAAGAGGTCGGGCGGTTCGTCACCGGAGCCAGAGCGGGCCGAGGCGAGCCTGAAGAGGTCGGGCGTTTCGTAATTGAAGCCAGCTGGGGCCGAGGGGAACCTGAAGAGGTCGGGCGGCTAATCGGGTCTGAAGGAGAAACATTGGTATCCATAGATAAGGGTCGATGCTGACGCCGGGTTGCTGGAGATCCTCCTGAACCTGGACGGTCCACGGCAGGTATCGGACGTTCGACTTGTTGCTCCTCAAGTCGAGAGAGATGGTCGAGGGTTTCTTGATTCATGGGTCTGCTATACACACGAGTCTGGGGGGGAAGATTCTCCGTGCCGGCCGGCGTAGCACTATGGATGGTGCTGGCACGGGACGGGTCGTGGTGCGAGGAAGCGATGCAAGTGATAGAGGTCGATACCTGCGGAGGTGGGCTGAGAGCCTGTGCCTCAGCCTGCCGACGACGCTCCCGGAGCTCGCGGACTTTGCTACGGTTCCACAGCGTGTACGAGTCCGAAGTCATTGCTGACGTGGCGGCGCATTCTTCAACGCCCTCCGTGATGGCCCTCTCTCTCTCTTCTCCACGGCCGTCCCGGTTGAGGTCTTCATTCATGCGTACAAATTGAAGGATCTTGGAAGCAATCCCCGCGGCGTACACCTCGTCCTCTTTCGCTTCGATAGCGTCCAAAGTCGCAAAGGTGGAGTACTTGTTGTAGCTGTGTTCCCACAACTTCTTCTGCTTCTTCTGCTCCTTCTGCTGCTTGAGCAAGGGATCTAAGACGCTTCTCGCTTCGACGTGAGGCCCGAACACGTCTTTTCTGCACATCCATTCGATGAACTTGTTCTTGTCGTAATTATGCGGAGGCCACCACCCTTGAAACGTGTTAAGGGCCACGACACTGCATCTCTCGCGAGGGTGAGGAGGGTAAGGGAGCTTCTGGAGACAGTAAAGGTAGCCTTGGGTCTCGGCATACTTGGTCAGAGACCAGACTTGGGTGTAGCTGTGGTCAAGAAGGACGACTCGAGGCTTCTCTAAGATATCGAGGCCGTTGTGCATAGAAACAAAGAGGTTCCACGGCTCACATTCTTGGTGCTCCACGCCTAAGTGCATGCCGACGACAACGCCATGAACCATCTCCTTGATGACATATTGCCGCATCTCTCTATCGAATCGGACTTCCGTCACGTTGTCCCTCCGGTTTTGATGACGCTGCAGGCTCCGAAAGGGTACAGTTCGCTTGCTGGGTTGAAGCGGGCCGAAGTATTCGCCGTCACGCTCACGGAGGCACAAGTTCTCGACGGAATAGCCGTTGATGTACTCAATGAGGATCAGACCGACGTATCTGAACATCGGCTGGTTGTTTTTGTCGTGCCCGCGAAAGATCTTGCTGACCCAACTTCCGTAGAACTGCGGTATGATGTGCGGATACCCAGTCTTACCGTGCCGACGATAGTACGCATAGACGGCGTGCTCGCGGCAGTGGTTTCCGTCAGCCTCCTCGTCGTTGGGCCAGGGTGCTGAAAAGTCGCTTGGATAGTAGTCGTAGTCGAAAACCTTGGCAACCAGTTGCCCGGGAAGGAGTCGTCCATTCGTGTCTCTGGAGGGCGGGAATGGCTCCTGAAGGGCAGCCGGACGGTGTTCCTCTGGAGGCTGGGAGACCGAGCAACGGAAGATCTGGGACTTGCGATTGACACCTTGACGAATGATTTCCTGGATCTGGATCTTGGCTTGGGTCTTGCTGAAGTCGGTCGCGGTGTCGAAGTTGCGAATATGGCCCTTCGGAAGATCCTCAGGCAGAGGGTTGAAATGGTACTGCCCCGAAGCATGCGGACGGTCGGGCTCGTATGGGAACAGAGTTAGGTGCTTGCCCTCGCGATATGCCTCCTCAGGCTTGAACCAGGTTTGAGTAGGCATGGTGAGTGAGGGTTTCGCAAGGCGGAGGTGTGATGAGACGAGTGTGAGAGGCGAGAGTGGAGGCAAGAAAGACGATGGGGTGTGGTTTGAAGGTTACAATACGGGTGACCCGAGCCTCACGAAGCTGAGGAGCGGAATTTTGTGACTGAGGATGAGAAATGATGAGGAGGGATGGTCATCAGGATGGTCGGCGGAAAAGAGAAATCCGGCGCGCGGCGAGACCTTGAGAAGTTCCCCATTCGGTGGGTGGAAGCGTGGGAGGAAATGGCCACACACATCCAGATTCTTCGTGCGACCTGGCGTAAGGAAGGTAACACACAAAAGTGTTTGGGCCTGTGGTACAACCGCATGTATCCAAGCTCGGGTAGATCCAACGGGTAGGTTGATCGGATTGGGTTGGCAGCCATCCAATAGCCTGCCAGTCGACAAACAAAAAAGTCAATACCCAACGTGCCATGGCCACTGTTTTCCCCTTATCAATTTGCCAAAACCAACCACAGGCCATTCACTTTCTGCTGACTGCCTGCAGGAAGGCAGACAAGACTTCTAGCTTTCTTTATCTTAGCGATTCAATAGAGACCACCTACTTTTCCTATGTCTAGGAGGCTTTATTTCCTGTGCACTTAGTGACTTTAACGAGGACATGAATGAGGGACGACGACGAGGAATGCTAACGAGGAACGACGGCGAGGGATGATAGCGATAGACAACGACAATGGGGGACGAATATAATAGACGACGAGAACAGCAACGACGATGGCAACAAGAACAATATCAATAATAGTAACTACAGCGGTAACGATAAAAGCGAGCGCAAAGGAAAAGTAGTTGCTCTAGCACAAGAAAAGTAGGGTATCTGATTCAATGGATTTGATTAATCAAGCATTATTCAGATAGAACAGACATCGCTCTGAGCAAGCAATAAACGCAGGACTCTCTGTTCCATAATCACAGCTTCAAGGCTGAAAAGTGCCTCGCATTGTTGAGAGATGTGGTGACAATACCGGAACATGCTGGGGCATGCCAGACACAGCAAAAAAATAAGCAGACGTGCCGTGGACATTGCAGCTTACGACGTCGAGCTCGATTCACTTTCCCAGCATGCTCCTGCTTAAGCGCACTGTGCCCCTTGACCTAGCATCCGCCGCTCCCCTGTCTTCAGACCATCAAACAAACAACACTGTGAATGGAATTACGGCAGGCGGATGAGGTATCCACCTTTCAACGGCATCAGGCGCATACTTCCCGTATACATCCGCATCAAGTATTGTTTCTGCAGCGGTGAAGATAGAAAACCCATATCAAAGTGCTCAGAACACCACGAGAGAAGTACTTGTACGAAGATGTGGCACATCTGTTGACCTTCGCGTGAGTGGAATATCGCCAGGCTAGGCAATAGGCTGGGCAATCGTGACTGCGCGAGACAACATGCAGCATGAAGCAACAGCTTAGCTTGTCCTCCCTTGTTCAGGGCCACCTCTGATCCAAACAATCCCCATGGCAAAATGTTGGTTCTCTGCTGAGACCTGCCGCATTGCAAACGCTCTCACTTGGTAGGCAGCACAGGGAACTCTTTGGAAGCAGGACTTCGGCCTATGCAGCTTTCTCTCTGGTGCCTTCCACTTTCTCTGGTGCCTTCCACTTTCTCTGGTGCCTCCTTCCTCCCCCAGTTTCTCTGGTGCCTTCCACTTTCTCTGGTGCCTTCCACTTTCTCTGGTGCCTCCTTCCTCCCCCAGTTTCTCTGGTGTCTTCCAGTTTCTCTGGTGTCTTCCAGTTTCTCTGGTGTCTTCCAGTTTCTCTGGTGTCTTCCAGTTTCTCTGGTGTCTTCCAGTTTCTCTGGTGTCTTCCAGTTTCTCTGGTGTCTCTCTCGTCCTCTAATTTCTCTAGATTCTATCCTCCTCATCATTACTACCTCTTCTCTTTCTCTGTCTTCATCTGCGTCTTCGCTTTCGCAACCCCCTATCTTTCGTGGGCTGATTTTGATCTCTGCAACGGCCACCATCACAACCACGCTCACACAGCCTCACAGCATGGCCAGCTCACCCCCCCAGAACCCGACATTCTCGGCCCTACTGTCACCTCGAAAACGCTATGCTTACGATTGGAACGAGGAGAGCGCTATGACCGGACAGACAAGCATTAACGAGACGTTTAAGAAGATACAGATACCGGACATCATCATCGAAGACGGGTCTCGATATCATACTGAGGGAGAGAAGCTGGTGACGAAGGCGATGAGCGATACGAACCTCAGTGCAGTCGGCCAATATCCTTCTGTGCCAGGAAACCAGTCCCATTTCCCGCACAGTGAGCAGGACGCTTTGCTCATAGACTCACGACATGAGCGAGACGCCCAGGATGAAGTACTGCGAGTGACTCAGCCGTGCCCCGACAAGATTTCGCAGTTTCAAGCCGAGGTGACGATTACCGCGGGTGGATTGTTGAAGAATCCTGAGGAGGTTAGCCGACGCATCACAGACACGCGCTATCAACCACGCAAGAGGCCTCGCGATCGCAGCGGCGATGGTCATAGGCAACAAAGAACCCGGACACGATCGCCTGCGCACCGAGGAACACCAGGCTCATACCGGACCCGGTCAAGCAGCCGAAGAAGATTCGACGAGAAGAAGATCAAGCGACACAGGACCTTCTTCCGGTCTCCCATAGGCGACCGTTTTCCGGTACATCTGCTTAGAGACAAGGTGAAGGCATTCAGGAGATTGCAGCGCCAGTTCCGTAAACATGGTTGCGATAAGCTCCAGGCTGTTTGGGTCGAGGGTCGGATAGACTTGTTGTACTCGGATATTATCCCTCGGAAGAAGATCCAAGCGCCAGCTGCCGCCCAGAACGAACCCAAGGCTAGCGATGCCATCTCTGAGACCGCTGCATCCAATATCACCCCCACCAAGGAGACTCCCACCAAGGAGACTCCCACCAAGGAGACTCCCACCAAGGAGACTCCCACCAAGGAGACTCCCACCAAGGAGACTCCCGTCAATGAGCCCGCCACAACGGAGGCCACCGAAACCGAAGACGCTGACAGCAGCGACGACACCGACGACACCGAGAGTGGCAGTGACGACGAACCGAGCGATGCGCAGACCTCCAGCGATACTGGACCTCGGAGTCTATACATGGGCATCCCGGATGGCTTAATGAGGCCAACCTCTGGAGCGGAAGCCAAATGTTATGCGTACGTTACAAAGGCCCTCCCGACCATCAGACACATCGCTCGAGAACAAGAGCGTGCGAGGGGTTTCCGGTCGCAGACTAGGCGTCCCCGGTACTCGCAGAACTCGCGCGGCAACGAAGATAACTTGAGGCACTTGATGGAGGAGGGGGCTCTCGACCTCTTCCGACAAGGCGGTGGTTATTTGATGCTTTTTCGCATGTTCTACTGCGAATTGTTTGACTCTAGATCCCACATAATGATGAACGCCCCGGATCTCAAGATCGACAAGTTCACGACGATTCCTGAGCTGTGGAAACAAACCCTGAAGGGCCCAGGTCCCATCAAAGTCGCCATTTTCGAGGAAAAGGACTTCGATAAACTGCCCCTCACACGGGTAGGATTGCGCCACCTCGCCAGGGAGCAAACTCCTTGGGATGTCGTTGCATGAACGGGAGAAGGGACCGTGACAGAGAAAGAGACGGAGAGAGACGGAGACGGAGAGAGACGGAGACGGAGAGAGACAGAGACAGAGAGAGAGAGGGGAAGAAAGAGGGGGGGGGAGGGGCGCAGGAGAGTCGGCGACAGAGATGAGCAGAGTCAGGAATGGGGGCTCAAGATGAGTGGCATCGAGTGTTAGTGCGGGTGGTACAGTCTGTTTAAGTCGTTGTGAAAAATGGTGATGTTTTGTTTGTCGGTAATCAGATATTGTCCAGACTGCCTCGTCCCCCTTCGTTAAAAGTGAAATGCGATACCGTAGAGAAAATCGTCATACCATTGTTCTAGGTATGCCCCCGGTAGAACATATCGAGTACAAACGAGAGGAGAAGACAAGACAAGAGAGGGGAGAGGGGAGAGGGGATGGGTTTAGAAAGGTGCCATAGAGTTGGCGGCAAAGTCCTCTCGTGTTGTCGTAAAATTGTAACTTCCACTTGTATCGGCCACCGAACATCAATTGGGTCCGCCATCGCAGGAGATGCGATGCCGCGAAGAGCGTTGCGATGGGTACGATCCCATGCCATGAGGGCGTACCGGCTTGGCGCGGAACCAGCATCAGCTGCTTGCCGACAGAGCACGCGGCGGAGGACGAGATGGAGGTGGTGCAGGGCAAAGAGGAAGCGGGATCTGCGTCAGACTTGGACGGCGAGGAAGTATCGAAAGCCCAGGTAGCCGAGTGAGATGCGCTTGAATCAATGTCAGCGTGGTCTACCCATCTCGTGTTGGTGTTGCAGTCTCGGTTCGAGCTATCTGCTCACCGTCGAAGTGATGCTCAGCAAACGACAAACACGGCATAGCTGATTCCCTCACCGCGCAGACAGAATACGTAGCGCTCGTCAGGAAAACTGTCGTTTGGGGGATATCTGTAAGAGACTGCTCAATTTTCCTTGTGCTGCGCGACTATATTTCCTGTGAACTCTGTCGCTCCCATCGAGGACGACGATAGTAGCAACAACGACGATGACGACAATGAGGCGATAACGACGAGTCTCACGATCATAATAGCGACGAAGACGGCGACGAGGGTAAGGTAGAGTGAGTATAAATCCGCATGAGAAGTTGTCGCTCAAGCACATGGAGAATAAGGTAGCTGAGGTAGTCTCTTTACCCCACCCTTGCCAAGGTAACATGCGGAACCCATTAGGTGCAGAGAGAACAACAAACCAGATCCCATTGTAAATGCTCCAAGCTAAGTTGGATTGATTGATGGGTCGGAGGTGCAGCTGCCCAGTGGCCTTCAAGGCTAAGTATGCAGGGGCGGTTTTGGTGACCAACAAGAGGAGTGAAGGACAACCAAGGCTGGGATACGATGCATAATGGGGGCTGATGACAGTTGAAGAGCAACAAATGGGCGAAAGTAAATATGACAACACATCGCGCTGAACAGCCCAACATTTGCATAGTCAAGAAGTGTTGTTATTGTTGTTGCTGTTGTTGGCCCCATTACCCACCATTCACACCGAACACTGGCGTCAAAACCCCAATTTCCGGCCGGCAACTGACAACCACGTTTCAATTCACCTGTCGTCGTCGCCGTCGTCGTCGTCGCCAGATCCGCCAGGGATGATGCCTCTCGGCGCTATGACATCCAAGAACCAGGACGGACCTGCATGGGGTGAGACCACAGCGTCGAATCACACAAGCGGGGGGATCAGGCCCAGCCCCACAAGGTGCAGTCCGTCCCGACGGCCGTGAGGCAGGCGCGGGGGCGGACGAAGGACCGCACATACAGCGGCTATCACCAAAACACTCGATGCGGGCTCTCGGTGTGCGGAACGAACTGTCGTCGTTGAGAGCCTGGGCGGTGGTTGGGGGCGCTAACTACGGTGCTGTGCTGCATGCTGCACCCAGCGGTAAGAAGGTACCATTTTCGGCTGGACGGGTCGGAGGGTCGGAGGGGTACCTAGTGCAGTGTGTGGTCTGGGACGTGGACTGGGACAAACTGAAGGTGGACCCTCTTTCTCAGCTCGACGCCATCTGGGACGGACATGGCGTTCCATCTACCGTACGGACTGTGCTAGTGCAGTAACAGGGCCGCCAGAGGGGACCGGTCGAGTCAGCCCGTTCGAAGGGATGCCTGTTTCATCGCAGCTTTTTTTGGGAGTTGATCTCGACTCGACCTGGATGCACTTTTTTGGGGGATTTCCTACTGTGCTGCAAAGGGCACATTTGTGCATGCGGGAAAGGAAGAGTGCGAAAGACGTCACACCAACACACCCGGCAAGTCAGGCTGCGTACTTTGTATGTACAACTCGGAGGGGGTCGGCAGCGACTGACCTCCGACGGAACCCGTGGGACCCCTTGTACAGCCGATTCGTGCCACCTTTGCCTCCCGAACTCTCGTAATCCGGGAGGAAGGGATCATGCTTGATGGCCCGGTCTGCGTCCTATCTCATTGCAGGAGCACAAGTCCCGGATTGTGGGGCACAGTGGTGACGGAACCTAATGCCATGAATAGTGTCCTGGTGACTCTATTGTGACTATGTAAAGTTGGTGGGAATCAAGTAAAACAGGTCCGAGGAAACCGCAGTAGGCAAACGAGGAAAAAAAGGTACACGACCGAATGAGAGAAGAGGGTATGTGCTGTGAAAACCGAACGAAACGAACGCCGCAATCCAATCGAGAAAAAGAGTCCAAGATAAAGGCGGCAACAAACAAATAAGAAATATTGCTCTCAATGAAACCCGTCTCGCCGCAGTATTCCCAACTCCTCCGATGACCCCCCTTAGCCCAGGTAGTATTGGAAAAGGAAGAAAGGACAGGGGAAAAAAGATGCGTGTCCCTCGTCCCTTGAGACCGACGGGTAAGAAATGCGAGATGTGCTGTTACTCCCACCCAGGCTCATGTCCTTGCGTTCGTCCCCAAGCCCCGACATGGCCTTATCCGCTGCCAAAGTGCGTAAATCATTGTCGAAAGGGTGTTAGGTCGTATCCGGACGCCGTGGTATAGAAACAAAAGGGGTTTCTCGTGAGAATTCATCGGTCTAAAAACACTCTGGACGTTGTTGTTCATGTGGTCTCGTCATGGTGGACCCCGCAGGAGCACCGTTATTGGGGGAACATGTTGTTGATCTCCTCGTCGCTCAGAACAATCTCGTGTACCGGCTCCCGTCGGTTTTCGAGAGGGACGTAGTCGCAGTCGACGTAAGAAGGCAGGAAGATTTCTGGGTTCCATGCGAAGCCTTGGCTGGAGGAGAGGTAGGAGATCTGCGGAGTCATGTTAGTCGGTGCCCACTTGTACCAAAGGGCGGAGTGGTGTTACCAGGCGGGGAGTGCCGTTGGGCTCGCCAATATTGATGACGGTGCTTTCTTGCTTCGACAACGCCGTGCCTGGTTCTCGAAGTCAGCAAAGGTTCACGGGTGTAGTCCAGCCGCCCGGGGCAGAGCAGGCCGGCATGGCCCGGGTCTCGGAGCCCAACTCGTGGTGGGATGACATACTGAGCAGGCTGGGCCGACGCTGGTGGACCGACTTCTGCTTGCAAGCGGAAGGCGGGGAAGACGTCCGCGGGGAGCTGGAGTAGGTTGAAGAGGAAGAGCTGGTTGCACCCCGGCCTTGGGAGGACTGGTGGTGGTGGTGACCGTAGGTGGCCGACGACGGGGTCATCGGGATCGCAATCGACGACGACATGGTGGTCGGGCGTTGAGGTCTTGGAGGGGGAGAGTAGAGGACGCCAACGTGAGACGATAAACCCCAAGAATGATTGGAAGCGGTCTGAACGATAGAGAGACGAAAAGAAGCACACCGGACGGCTCGTTGGTGGAGGGAAACCAGCTTGTTTCGGCTGAGGAGTCGAGAAGTTGAAGAAGGCAAGGAGGATTAAAGGTACAAGCCCGAAGAGAAGTGTGCCTGTGACTGCGTAGAGTGACTGATACAGTGTACAGTGCTAGGTTGACTGCTGGGACGAGGCAGGCCTAACGAGGCATCCGGTGAATCACGCCCACATCATCCCATACAGTTGACCTTGGGGTCTGATAAGAGATAGGTGCCGGCACTGGACGGACTGCTAAGACGGGGTATGAGCCGCCGCGGGGAGCTGCTAACAGTGGATAGCGGGAGAGACCCTCACATCATCATGGCAGGGATGCTGGCAGTCGCTCCCCACTGTACATGGGGGGAAGGCGGCCCCCACTCGCACCAATCGGAGGCCGTCGCTGCCTACAAGCTGGGTAACGTGCTGCAGGCACTTCGCCCTGCTCCAGGCCGTCCTCTCGGCCAATCACCCGCTCGTGGGACTTCAAGGTCACGTGCGAGAATCCAAGCTTCGATCGGATTCCTGACTAAGCCGGGCTGAAAGGCTGCTGGCTGCATGCGTATCCATTGACGCCTACAGGCCAAGCTAGAGCAAGCACGCAGCACCACACCCAAGCTCTGTGAACAACAACTCTCACATCACCAACAGCACCGCGCCATCCTCACGACCTCACTCTCGACACGGTCCGTCAACCCACTCGAGTCTGCTCCTTCTCAAACCAACGCTCGTGAAACCCCTCCTCTCCCCGACAAAATGGGTGACGTTTTGGTGGAAAACCCGGCCAACCACTTCGTTTCTCAGAAGAAGACGGCGCCCTCAACAATCCCTAGTATTGAGAACTTCGAGGGTATCTCTTCGGAAGGAGGTGACGACTATGCCACACTCAAGAAGCTGCAGAGGCAACTGGAGTACATCCAGCTCCAGGAGGAATACATCAAGGATGAGCAAAGGTTCGAATTGCCGCTTCGTCACCACAGCTCGTCGGTTTGCTGACACGCCGCCACAGGAGTCTGAAGCGTGAGCTCGTCCGAGCTCAGGAGGAGATCAAGCGTATCCAAAGTGTGCCCCTCGTCATTGGGCAGTTTATGGAGGCTATCGACCAGAAGTAAGTTGACCCCGCGGCACAACTCAGCGCCGTCGAAGCTTCAGACAGCTAACGACCGCCAACAGCACCGGAATCGTCCAATCATCGACCGGTTCGAACTACGTCGTCCGCATCCTCTCTACCCTCGACCGCGAGAAGCTCAAGCCCTCCTCCTCCGTCGCCCTCCACCGCCACTCCAATGCCCTCGTCGATATCCTCCCTCCCGAAGCCGACTCCTCCATTGCCATGCTGGGCGCGGACGAGAAGCCTGACGTGACATATGCCGATGTTGGTGGCCTGGATATGCAGAAGCAGGAGATTCGCGAGGCGGTCGAGCTGCCTCTGACGCATTTCGACCTGTACAAGCAGATCGGTATCGACCCCCCTCGTGGTGTCCTGCTGTACGGTCCTCCCGGAACCGGAAAGACCATGTTGGTCAAGGCCGTCGCCAACTCCACAACTGCCAACTTCATCCGTGTCGTCGGTTCAGAATTCGTGCAGAAGTACCTTGGTGAGGGTCCTCGTATGGTTCGTGACGTCTTCCGCATGGCTCGCGAGAACGCCCCGGCCATCATCTTCATCGACGAGATCGACGCCATTGCGACGAAGCGTTTCGACGCGCAGACCGGTGCCGATCGTGAAGTCCAGCGTATTCTCCTCGAATTGCTCAACCAGATGGACGGTTTCGACCAGACCGCCAACGTCAAGGTCATCATGGCCACCAACCGTGCCGACACTCTCGATCCCGCCCTGCTGCGTCCCGGTCGTCTCGACAGAAAGATCGAGTTCCCCAGTCTCCGTGATCGCCGCGAGCGCCGTCTCATCTTCTCCACCATTGCCAGCAAGATGTCTCTGGCCCCCGAGGTCGACCTCGACTCCCTGATCGTGCGCAACGACCCTCTGAGCGGTGCCGTTATCGCCGCCATCATGCAGGAGGCCGGTCTCCGCGCCGTGAGGAAGAACCGTTACAACATCATCCAGAGCGACTTGGAGGATGCCTACTCAAGCCAGGTCAAGGGCACGAGCGACGAGAACAAGTTTGATTTCTACAAATAAACGACGAGCTACGAACGGAAGGGCACGGACGAGTCGAAGGCGGAGGAGGGGTCGAAATACTCGCTGCAAGGTTGGCGATGTAATGGGACGGACATGGCCGGAAGGCAGCGGGCAGGGATAGACTTCCTTATTATCAACGGCTTCGGGGGAGCGAAGCCCGGCGTCGCGTTGTACAATATTCTTGATAAACAAGCTTCGTTGGTACCTGCTAGCCACGCGACGGTGTTGCCGAGTGATTACATACGTGACATACCATACATATCCAGGTCGAGCCCTCTGAAGTAATCCGCATTTGAAGATGCAATACAATCCCATGACCAGGAATTTCCGACCGAGAAAGTAGCACCATCAATCCTTGACGTCCAAAATTGTCGAGAATTGGGTTCACAAGCCGAGGATCAACCGTTTCTTAAAACCTGACGTCGACGTCCCGGCCGAGTCCGGAACAAACCGAGTTCGACCCTCCGAACCGGGGCGATGGATGGGCAAAGGCCTGAAACTCGGTTTCTTCCGATGATTCAAGGTCCAAGTTCCCCCGATTCTCTCTTTCATCAGTTGTCAAGTTTTGGGGGGTGATCAAACAGGAGGGCGCTCGACGCAATTCCACCCTCCGATTTCCGTTACCATGTCGTTGGATCGGTCTCAAAGTGTTCTTCACATGTGCATTAGGGATGAAATATTACCAAAAGTTGAAAGGGCACAATCATGTAATCTCCAAGTATTGTTTGCTCTGCACGAAAACGTTTTCTCATTTTCAGGATCCGATCCCAGTGTCTCAAAAAAGAAAGAAGAAGGCTACTTTTTTCTTTTCCCCGCCATCATCCGGTTGTCGTTTCCGCCGTTTTCCCTGACTTTGATTTTTTCCTCTCCTTTTTGTTTTCCGTACCGTGGCTCAAAGGCCGTGTTTGTGTATGTCTCTGTGTCTTTTGTCTAATAACAAATAAAGACAACGCTGCCATGAAAGAAAAAAAAAAAAAACAAGCAAGAAAGGAAGCCGTGAATCATAACGTGAATCCCTGTCATCAATAAAAGCCTGCCGCCGCCGCCCGTAATCTATCAAAAATGGAACCCTTCCTTGCCTGCTTTGACTCGTCGCAAAACGCTGCAAGAAGCTTCAACATGTAAAATAAACTCCACAGATGCTAAACCGTCGCTGATGCAAAAGTCGTGATGCAATACCGGGATGGGATGCGTCAACGCTGAGATGCCGCAATTCCTCATCGCCAAAGGTGGTTTGGTTGGTTGTGTGGTTGGGTATATCCTTCGTCCCCGCGCAAAGTCTCTCTCCTCCCCCGACTCCTCCTGTCCGTTCCGAGCAGTGGGCAGAGTGATTAGGTATTATCATTACCCATTACTGCTTTTCGTGTAATAGTACCCTCGACCTGTTACGTAGATGCAAAGGCCTTCCCTGGGATTTGTCTGTGTATGGACAGGTGAACGTGGCGGCATCTCTCTGCCTGGGTATCTCTTCTTCGATCGTCTCTCGGGTCTTTGAGATCATGGCTCAAGCCATGTCTGGTTTCGTAACGTATATTGCTGCCACTGTATAGGCAACTAGGAGCTCAGGATAACGCCAAGCTCCAGCATCATCTTCACGAACTTGGCGTGCAGCTCGATAAAGAAGTCCGGCATGCCAACAAGCTCTGCGAGGCCTCTCGCTTTGAGGGAAACACCGCCGGGTCCGCCGCCCATGCGTCTGGTGAAGCCGCCACCTCCGGTCAGAAAGCTGCTGCCACCGCGGTCGGGTCCCTCCCTCTCGTGGATGTTCATCATGGGATACGGATTGTGGTGCTGAAGACCTCCGATGGGGCTGGACTCGGCTATCCTCTCGGCCTCCGCCTCAGCAAGCTTCTGGATCCATTCTGCCAGGCCTGCGAAAGCGGTTGCCATGAAGCCGAACGTCTTCATGGCGACCCGCTCCTTATGCGTGCTGAGAGCCAGAAATGCGTAGACGCGCTTGTGCCCGCGGGCGTGCATGTCGGAAATGCGGAAGATGTATGCCGTCGTGTAGCCGTTGACTGGGTCGCCAAAGAAGATGGGCCCGCCAGACGCGGCAGCTCCGGCGCTTTGTGTGGTTACGAAGGGCGTGGAGCTCGACTGTGGCGAGGCGCTCGGCGTCGGGTTTGCGGGAGAGCGTGGGAGGGTCTCGAGGGAGAGTGTCCGCAGGCATGAGGATCGCACGATCGAGAAGGACGTTGGTATTAACGGTTCATGGGTGGAGGTGTAGTCGAGGTAGTGGGTGTGACTGGCATGCCTTCCCGAAGACATGCTAGATCTTGTCGTGGTCGAACCAGTGGCTCTTCGGTGCATTCGCTCGGGGCGTCCCTCACTGTCGGTATCGCTGGCAGAGGACCCTTGCGAAGTCGGTGGCGACGCCTGGCCGTAGACCCTGGCGTACGGCGCGCGAGTGCGCAGTGTCGGGCCGCGCTCTGCTTTGAAATCATTCTTGTCCTTGCCACCTTGCCGCTGCGGTAGCGTGAGCGCGCAGTTTTCGCAAGGGCCGGCGCGCTTGGTAACGTTGTCGTCGTAGGTTCGGCGGAAACTCGAGTCTCGTCGCGGCTGCTGTTGCTCCGATATGCGGCGGGGGCTTTCGGGTGGGGTTTCGATGGCGGAGGGCGACAGAGGCGAGGCCGGGGAAGCGTTGGCGGATGCGCGCAGCAGGGCGGCGCGCTGGGTCTGGGCCTCGATTTCCGAGGCGGGTAATGACGAGCTGCGGTGGGCATTGAGGTGCATCTT